AAATTGGAAGTGAATCTTGACATCCCCTCCCCTATATATATATTACTTAACAAAATATTTGATTTTTCAACGATTTCCAGATTTTTGCATCATAAGTACTTTTACCCATGCAACAGTATAAAAGTTATGATAACTTAAACCTCACTATAACTAGAGGAAAAGTAATTCAGAGTCATCATTTTTAGACTTCTGTAAAGCCTCTTTTTGAAATTTATTCATGTAAACCTTTGAGGTCATAATGTGGCATTTATAATTTCCAAACTTCTGAAATTGGTATATATGTACTAAGAATACAAAAGAAGCACTTTAGATATAAGTAGCAGTAAGAATCAGTAATTATGTTTGAAAAAAATGTGAAAAATCTAACTAGACATTGATTTGGTATTCTTTACTGCGCTAATTTTTAATGATCCAAGTTTTTCAGTGTCAACATTTAAAAATATTAGCAAGAATGCTTATATCTGGAAAATTTCTGTATAAATTTTTTATAAAAAGAAGTCCTCATGGTTGTTGTGAAGATATACTGCTGATATGTATTTGGTAGCTACATGTGTATTAGAAATGTCATCACTTTGTCTAACCTAGTTGCATTGTATTTTGAATACTTTTTTTCTATTCAAAAAGTCCCTTTATAGTTCTGTGATTGTGGGGCACTGATGGTGCCCTTTGTCTTTATATTTTGTAGGGTAAGAGAAATATCTTTGAATTTTCACTTATCAGCACTTTTTCTTTCCACAAAGCATTTTTAATTCTAGGCTTATCTCTTTGATTAAAGATAGTTTGCCATTTTTATTATAAAACTTGTATGAAGAGTGCTATTATCATCATCTCAAAATCATCATGATCCTGATTGAAATATTTTAATTAATGAATAGATAAGTTTAAATGTACTGCAAATTCATTTATTTTCGTGGATTGGTGAAAAATTGTAATTTCTTTGATATTTAATTGCATAGTCTTCTCCAATTCTGCATAGAAACCTTTAAGAAACTTAAACTTTGTTGATAACTTAATTTCGTTGTTCACCTGTTCCTTCAAAATCAAATAAAATTGTTACCCAATGAATAATAATGAATTTGTAGTATTAAAATACCTGTATCACTTAAACTGTACATGTAAGAAAAATAGCCTGTAAATGTTACGTTAATCCTATATGTGCAGCTTGTACCTGAAATCCAGTAGAAAGTACATTCTCTCAGGAATTTTTACTGGAACTGATCAGGAGTGTTGATAAGTGTATAACTAGCAGCTGGTGTACCAACAGTTTTATTTTCTTAGATTAGACATTCCATTTATTTTTATGTAACTTATGTATTATATTTGTATATTTCAATTTAAAGGTGTATATTTCTTTTAGCAGTAAATTTAATCAAGCAGTAGGTTAGATTTAGCATAATAGTATGGGTGGATTTTCAGATTTAAGAGTTTATGCAGTGATATTCACTGTTGTGAAAAAGCTTCACTCCGCTTTGTTTGAACCATATTTAAAGCAATTAAAGACCCTTTCGCAAATTTTTTAGAGACTAACTGTTTTCGTATGTATGAAAAGCCTTGACATTGTAGTTTTGCTTTGAAGATTTAACAATGAATATGTCATACAATTTTAGTTTAATTTAGCATTTTGCCATCAAGACATTTTATGAAGTCACAACAGATGATCTTCAGAATTTCTTCCAAAATTTATGGCACATTCGGCACAACTATATATTGCGACATCGTTGAAATATAACTAAAGCCAACTTGAAAATTGGTGTAGACAGTTCTCTTGACCTTCTGACCTCATTATTATTAATTTCATCCAATAATTTGTGCAATAATAAGGCTAACTGAGAAGTTCAATGCTAGAATTGAGCAGTAGAAAGAAATCATATATTGTAAAAACCTTTCAATGGAGGATGGTTATTCTAAGAAATCAGTTATTGTTGATTTTCACTTTCAAGAATTTTTCAGGGACAATTGATTTCAGTGTTAATAGTTTACTGTAGAAAAGCAAATTCTGGTAGGATGACAAAAACCTTTGATAAAATTTAGGCATACTACATTTATATTTTTTTTTTCTTGAACATTCACTGCTTTATAATATTTTCCATGATATTTTTAATTTGCTTAATATTCAATTTATCTTTTAGCCTGTGTTCACTTCTGTGCATTATTTATGGTTAAGTGTAATATATTTATTTAGTATTGTAATATGTAAAATATATTTTATTGGAGAGAGTGACAAGCTTGTATATATCTCGACTGACTGAGGGCATTACTCATAACGGAATGTACATAAGGAATGCATTTTTTTTCAAGGTCATGAATAAATGTGTGTGAGTGAGGTACATTTCATCTTTTTATGTGTAGTATGATATAACTATGACGATATGGAAAAAACAAATTAAAAAAAATGATACACACTGATTTTGTCTTTATATTCGATTATTACACATCTGTCACTGAAAAAAAGATGACAATCTCATTAAAATACAGATCCTGTTCTGCATTTAGCTTACAAGGATCTGACAACGCTCTGTTCTACTTTCTGTCTTAATGGTTATTTGGGTTCCTCTGGTTTTGTCACAATGATACACACCTTCAAAAATTTGTAGGCAGGAATTTCATTTGCTGTGGTAATATACCGCAATAATGAGATGGACGAAAAATAGAATCGATTGTTGGCAGATCATTGTAATCAAAGTGTTGCCCCACAATCTGTATTTTAATCACATTGAAAAGATGGCTTCTGTTTTGACTTTTAATATTTGTTTACATCAACTATGGATTTGATATACATATTGCAAATTCAGATCACCTTGAAAAACAAATAGTCATTTAGAAGTCAACATAACGTCTTTCAATTGATTTTTTTGGTGTAATTAATGAAACCATAGATTCAAAAATCTTGAGAACCAATGATCAATGCCATGATCTGATTAAATTGGCTTCTATTGTTTTCTGTATTTTAACTGGAATATCTTAGAAAATCCACAAACTGTTAAGTAAACTTAAACTAAAGTCAGTTGAACATGAAAATCTTCTTGTATGAATAAAAGGACATGGGTATCCCATTTGGGTGTATGTTAATTAGACAGCAATTTTATGACAAAAATAACCATAAGACATCTAGAGTTGACTTATTTAATTAGATATATAGTGCTTATTCGGCTGTGATGGATATATAGAAACTACAAAATGGGTGGATGGATGTTTAACGTTCACCTGGTAATCTTTCAACCATATTCAGGTAAAGAACATGTGAATATGTATCCTTTGTACAAGACCAATATGCTGAACCTTGCTTTTTGTCTCACCTCTATGAAGAAGTGGAGGAGAGACTTTGGCGAGCTGTTTACAGCAATTGACGGCATCAACAATGTTAAATTTTGTGATAAGTTCTGTTTTAGGGGAAGCATCAATGGTAAGTCAATGATATTTGGTATGCAGTTGTATCAGCATTAGCACATCTCATATCCATGGAAATTATTTGGCTCTGTCCCCTCAGTCATGGTCTATTGACTGAAACTTTTGCATACTAGTAGTTTGCATGATATATTTTGTGATTAGGCCAGTTTCTGATGAACCACTAAAGGTGATAATGATATTTGACATGCAGTAGTATTAGTATTTGCACATCTCATTTCCTTGAAGATTATATTGCCAAGCCCCCTTAATCATGATTCATTGACTGGAACTTTTACGTAGTTAACATGTTTAAGTTTGTGATTGGGTCAGTTTAAGGGGAACCACCTATGATGTCAAAATATTTGGTATGCAATTATATCAGCATCAGCACATCTCATATCTATATAGATTATCTTAGATTACATCTTCAGTCATGATTCATTGATTCATAGTTACATGTTAAACTATTGCCCTTTTGATTTCAACATCAGCATTTTGCTATCAAAATTACATACAGATGAGACAAATCTCTGGTGTTTTTTGTCTCGCCTGTGACGAAAGTTGTGGAAAGCGAGACATAGGGATTGCTTTTCCGGCGATGACGATGTTGGTGTCAACTATTGTTTAGTTTTCTGCTTAATTTAGTTTGATAGGAACTACTTGTGATTAATCAATGATATTTGTTGGAAGTTACATTACTATCAGGACATATCAGTTTGAGGACTATTTTGAGGCCCTGCCCCCTAGGTCATGTTCCAGTGACTTTCAATTAATTACCAATTTTCAATGTTAAGTTTTCTGCTTTAGTTTGATAGGAACTACTTAAATAGACAATTATGTTTTTTAAAAAGTTACATTACTGTCCGTACATCTCAGTTTGTTGACCATTTCGAGGCCCTGCCCACTCGTTCTTGGTCCACCGACTTTGAATTAATTAGCAATGTTCCTGTCCATCTGATTGTCTTTTTCTGAATTTTATGCTGACAGGCGAGACATATCTCTATGTCAACAGTTTATTAATGTGATGGCTTACAAGTGAAAATTCTGCAAAAAGAGGTCACCCTACGTTGAAACATTCCATATTTGAGATGATCTGTCTATTTGCTCTTAAATTATGTGGCCTTGAGAAAAGCAGCAAGAATCAATTTTATTTGAAGACTCAGTTTTCAGCAAGCTAGCATCCAACCAACAACCTTCTGAATCACAGGTAAGCAGACCATCACAAGACCAGTGAGATAGTTCTAAATGACTGAACAAACAACTGTTAACAAATGGAAGACCACTATTTTTACACCAATTTCCAGGGTTTTACTGCACTGATTTTTTGCCAATTGACCTTGTTAAGTTCACAGAACAATCACTTTTAAACAGTTAAACCATTATCAGAAATTTTTAATGATCGGCAAACATGTAAATTGAAACCAGTTTTAAATCAAACCATAAACCATTCAAAAACTGAATCAAATACACCCTTAATGTTTTCTAATGTGACAATAGAAACTTGTGGAAAAAGGTTACATTTCCATCAATGACAGACTCTAAATGGTGCAGTTTTACAACCTGAATTAATAGTCAGCATTGCTGAACCCTTAATTCTAATATTCAAAACAAAATAACTTTGCTGTATTTTATTTTTACTAATAACATTTTCATTTTAATAAATAATAAAAATATAATTATACAAGTTTGGAAGACTTACAGGTATAAATAGTCATACAGATCATTGTAAAAAATAAAAGTACCTTACAAAAAATATTGCTTTTTGGCAGTAAGATGACAAATACAGTAGTTCTTTAAGTGACCAATGAAAATAAATACTGTAAATTCAGAAATTATTGCGTGCATTTATTATTGCGATTTTGTCATTTTAGACTAAAATGCGATTTTAATTTTTGCGATATTGAGAAAAATCCGGTTTAATTTATATAAAAAATTTCAAAATGCAAGTTTAAATTATTGCGATTATAACCCTGTCACATTTTTCGCAATAATAAAAACATCACAATAATTTCTGAATTTACAGTATAGCAAATGATGAGGGATTTGTTTGAAATGAAGAGCCAAGCAGGCCATCGATCATACATATACTCATTTATCTGTAGAATGGATGTACCTTTCCTACTAAAAAATGTTCCTCTTACTGGTACTAATCCTTAATGCAGTAAATAAGTTATTGATACACTTCAACAAATATATTGGACAGATATAACATATTCAGGAGGGGAATTTACAAAAAAATATCAGTCAAATTGGTAAAATTTCCTTAGCCATTGTAGGCAAAGGAAAATTCGTCTTCATTGTATAATACATATAGTAAATACCCCTTCGGAATATGGTATATCTGTTTACACCAAATGTCAATAAAGATGGCCAAATTCAATATTGAACTTTAATTCCACTTTTTTTCCCATAAACACAATAGCAAAAACAACAGCAACAGTCAAGATGCTACTCATAATCTTGTCTCTGAAAACCATGAATGAAGAAAACAAACTTAAGTTAATTTTTTATTCCCTACTCTTATTTAAATCTTTTGTATGAACACTAGTATTTTTTTAAATAGGGATCAGATATCCCTTTTTCTTAGATTTTGTATTGTCTTGTGTGCTCTCAATATAGAAAATAAAAAATGGTAAATTAAATGATTTCTATAAGTCAAATTATCATTGGTTAAATAATGGTTTACAAATGGCAAGACAGCTAAATTCAAAATCTAGTGGAAATGTTATTGAAGGGAACAGAGTTTACAACAAAAAAAAAGAAAATCAGGCAACAGTTATCACGACTCAGAATGTCAATTTAATAAAAATCATGGCAAATTTAATGTGTGGGTAAGATAGATCCATTCTTAATACCTCCTCTGAAAACTTGTTCCAATGTTATAATTGATTGATTGTTGGTGTTTTAATGCCACTTTTAAGCATCACTTTTGGGCTATTTCGTGGCAGTCAGTTTTTATGGGTGGAGGAAGCGGGAGTCCCCAGAGAAAACCACCGACCTTCGATAGGAAAACTGACAATCCTAGTCAATTAAGATTGGAGTCGAGTGCACCTGCACAAGCGGGGTTCGATCTCACAACATCAGTGTTGACTGGCTAGTGATCCCATGTTATATTATAATGTACTGTGGGTTCATTTATTTTTGTGGGTACCAATTTTCATGGATGAAGGAAAAACTTTTTAGTCGTGGATATTTGATTTTACGGATAAGTCTATAAAAAAAATGATACTTCACTGAACTTTTAAGTTCTGAGTTTACCTTTACCCACGAAATCCACAAAAATTGGTACCCAAAAAAATATTAATGAATCCACTGTATTTTACAATTTTTTTTAAGTGTTTGACAAACAAAGAAATGAACATATAGATGAAATAGCAATGCATGCACCATACAAATATTGAATCCCTTTGTATCACTAAAACTACCTTTCCCAAACTAACAAATTTTATCGTTAAAAACTGCAACAGATATATGTTGTTATACATTATACAAAAACTGTTATACAATACAACATATGGTAAAATAAGGACTAGATAATAATAAAATATGTTATGTCATACAGCTGCAGACTAGATTAGTTTTTTAAAAAAAACACCTCCTTTTGTCTGAACTTTGGTAGATACTCTAAATAAACTATAACAAATCAGATCTATACATAGGCCAAGTAAAAATAATGGTGTGCTTTATTGGCACTATTCAAAAAAAATTTATTAAGGCAATGTTAAACTAATAATATGGTTCTCCTACACTCTAGGACATGGAAGATAATATTTATTCCATGCATCCATTTGAAAATATTTTTCCAACCATGATGAGCTATCAAGCATGAAACAAAATGCAATTTTCTGTATGTAAAGCTACATAATAAATGCTTGTCATGAGTTCATTAATGCTTAAAAATCATTTTACAACTTGTAATACAGATGAAATATGCATATAAAGTAGGTAATGAGCCTGTTTTACATTTATTCAAAGTAAATAAGAAATGGTAGTTAAATTATATGGTTGATTTCCTTACTCTCAATTTCTATGATAAACAAAATATCTTTTGTTAAAACTTCCAATTAACCCCGCCGCATTTTTGCGCCATTCCCAAGTCAGGAGCCTCTGGCCTTTGTTAGTCTTGTATGTTTTTTAATTTTAGTTCATTTATATGTTTTGGAGTTTAGTGTGACGTCCATTTTCACTGAACTAGTACACAATTTTTTTTAGGGGCCAGCTGAGGACCACCTCCGGGTGTGGGATTTTCTCGCTGTGTTGAAGACCCATTGGTGGCCTTCGGCTGTTGTTTGCTCTTTGGTCGTGTTGTTGTCTCTTTGACATATTCCCCATTTCCATTCTCAATTTTATTCCAAAAATGTATTGGTTAAACACAATTGGGGTTACTTGAGATTGTTATCAACTGTTACAGCTTTGACCATTCATATATTAACCTTTCTTTTCACAAGTAGTTGGTTCTATTCAGATGGTAAATTATTTACTCGGAACTCATGTGTATTTAATGCAGTTTAAGTGAAAACAAAGTGTCTCACATGAACAACTTTCATTTCAACAGCTAATAATATTTTAAAAGCTCCTGTAACAAACCCAACATAATAGACCTAATGCATGAAATATGGTTAACACTTAAATGTTTTAAACTGTAAACCAAAGTAAAATGCCGTAACAATATTTTTGGACATGGAAAAAATAAAATGTGACGAAGACATGAAAAACAGTTTATTTGCCCTTATTTTAAATATGAGAGATATATGTTACAAAAATAATAAATATACATGGTCCCTTTTAAAATTCTATTTAACAAAAGCACAAGATCATGAATAAATATTTCATTAATTTTCAACAATATAATAATTTTATAAATAAACAGTATAACTTCAATATAATTTCAACACAATTTATAACAATTTCAATTCTTCAACAATCAACAAACATTACATATAACATACTAGTCCCAAATAATTACGACGTCTTGACAAAAATAGCATCAGCATAATGAGGACGTATGAAGGTGTCACAGCAAAAATCAAAATAGCCTTTCAAGACATCATTATTATTTGGACTAACAACATACAAAAAATTAGCAAATTTTCCTCTCATAAAATTTTGTACCTCTATTTAACTAAGGCACTTATATATGTGTTAAAAATGTTTTTAAGAACACTGGGGTAAAAAGACATATATGAAATTGATCAAACTTATGAAACTGATTTAAACATATATAATAAATAAAACATCAGATCAATTTTCTTTTGGAGAATTTGTAGTGTAAAACATTGTAAAATATTGTAAGACATTGTAAGACATTGTTGGTTGTGACTTGGATGCATCTGTGAAATGATTGATACCTTTAATTAAGTTAAATATAAAAGATAATGGTGTTTTTCATAAGAAAACTATTTGATAATAATTTATGTTCTAGTTGTATGTTTAAAAAGTTTAATGTGAAAAAATATTTTTATGAAACAACCATTTATTTCTTTTTTCATTAAAAAACATTCTTAATATATAAAATTAAGTAATTATCTATATATTGTATAGTTTTATACCCTTTACCATAAACACTACACTACAAATAATAACATTTTCAGATCTTTTAGAGTCAACATTTATAAAAATATATATACTGTAAATTCAGAAATTATGGTGTGCACTTATTATTGCGATTTCAGGTAATCCCCATACATTTAAATCTATCTGATATCAGAATATGAGTTCTTATTATTGCATAACCACCCAGTCGCATCATTCATATTAATAAAACCATCGCAATAATTTCAGAATTTATAGCAATGCTTTTTTAATAAGTCATTTCCTGAATCTGGAATCAATTCTAAAATTTAATTTTAGTACAAGTTACTTCCCTTTCCAGGGAGTTTGTACTGGTTTACTACAATGCAGAGCTACTATGAGAAGTAAATGAATAATTAGTTATACCCTTAGTATACAATCATTTCTTTCAGTATAATCGAGTCTGATAATAAGTTTGTTGGATTAAAAAGTGTATCAAAATATAATCCTATTATTTTTTTGAGAGAGAGTCAATTCAGGGTTCAAAAAATGACTCATTACAATGATCTTTAGTTACTATTGTACTGAATAACATTCAACAAAATTCTTCACTCTGATTGACTAGAGAATTATCATCAAACTGTGCATCTACTTGGTCCAGTATCCATGGTGATTCTTCAATAACAACAGAAATCAGACGATCCAAGTAGAATTTCTGGCGACTAGCTTCTTTCACTATTTCTTTAAGAGAATCTGTTACTTGTTCCTACAGAAAACAGTCAAATAATATTGTAACATGCATTTTATACTAAAGCTGTTGATTTAAAATTTAAAACATTCAAATTCTTACAGGTGTTATTTTAAATACTAGCTTTTCTTAAAATTGTTCAGCAGGAAAAGTCACGCTCAAGATTTTGGAGAACAGTATGTTGATGAGCGATGAATCTGAAAACATTTCACATATTCCCATTAAGACTGACAACAAATTTCAGGAAGCTCTTATTTGTAGTTCCATAGAAAAATGTGATAAATATTTTTTTAAAAGGCCCATTATGTGTAAGAAAATATAAGTATTCGGTAAAAGGAAGTTGATAAGCCATAAATTTGAAAACCTATCACATGGTAAAGCATATTCACATAAAGCTTGATAACAAATTTCAGGAAGTTCTTATTTGTTATTCGGTTGAAAAATGTGACATAAATATCATACATGGCTTTTATGTGTAAAAATATTAAAGTAGTTGGTTAACAGGAAGTTGAAAAGTAATGAATCTGAAAACATATTAAACTGTAAAGCATGGTGGTATGAAGCCTGATAACAAGTTTCAGGAAGCTCTTATTTTTATTTCCCTAGAAATATCTCATGAAAATTTCATACATGGCCATTATATGTTAAAATATATAAGTATTGGGTAAATAGGAAGTTGACGATCTATAAATCTGAAATCCTATCACACAGTAACACATGTTCATATGAAGAGTGATAAAAGATTTCAGGAAGATTTGATTTGTGGTTCCTGTGAAAATTGCGATGAAATATTATGGAATGGACGGACATAAAGACGAAAGTATGGACGCACAATCGGACCGACATACATACAGACAGTATATCCTCTCCTTCAGAGCAGGGTATAAATAGAAAGAACCATTTAAGACATGCCATTACAAGACTAGCATTGATGTTATTTACCCTCACAAATGATAATGACAGATGCAATAAATTGAAGGGCCAGAGCAAGAACTATTGAGAACATGAAAAGTCTTTGATGTGCAGATTATCATGAGAGGTAAAATAATGGAATGACAATGGCAAAAACTAATTAAAATCATGAAACAAATTCTAAGATATTAAAGTGTGTCTTTTATAGATCCTTATCGTAAGAGTTGAAATAATTTAAGACCACAGTAAGAACCATCTGAGATCACAAGGTAGAAACTTTAGATTGCTAAGTATTTTTCTTTCATTAGCTACAGGAAAATCTGTGTCATTACAAGTTGTAAGAAAAAGATGTTTCAAGTTACATTGATTTTTGTATTGAAAAATATACCCACCAACTGATAAATGTTTCTCTAAATAGAAAGATTATATTGTAGACTTATTAGGATAAAAGCAAAAGCTTAAGAATATATATACAGAGTAATTATACATTGAAAATATATGAACTCTCTGAATCAAAACAATGCCAAATATTCCTGATCAAAAATAGGAAATTTTACATTATCAAAGTATAAACCATCCATATGTTCAGATTTATCTTACTCATGGCCAATTTGCTGTTTCAGAACTGTAAGGATTATGGGTAATTCAATTGTTTGTACTCGAAAATGAAAATGACATTACCTCATAGGATGAACTATAAATGTTTATGAGGTTTTTAACCATTCACAACGTTTTAGTGTATGCTTTTGAAAATATAATAATCATTTGTACTACAAGCATTCATTTGAATATTACTCGATAATAAATGCATCTATTATATACATACTTTTGTAGCAGATTCTACATTCAGACTCTCCATGGTCATCTTGTAGTACTCTGTCTCTCCAGAAACTGCAATATAAAGCAACAGGAGATTTATTTGGCTATCTATACCGTTGAAGATTCCATTGAAAAGTCATCCCTTAACATGCTAGCTGATTTGTCAAGCATCAATTTTAATATCAAGTGATCTATATCTAGAGGCTCTAAGAAGCCTGAATTGCTCATTTATCACCTAGAAAAACATTGACCTGTTAACAGGAAAGGTCCAGCTGCAATAACTTTATTACAGCTGTTATTGCTAACCAAATGAAACTTTTCCACAGATTCACTTGAAGGTTACCTGTCGATTTAAACTTTTGTAAATTCTTTTGTCCCATTCAATAAATACAATAGCTATTGTGCTCTGTGTAGTTTATTCACTGGGACCTTTAAATTTCTTTTAAGAGAAATTTATCACTCATTGATTAATATACCTGAGTAAAAAAATCATCTTCTAAACAAACGAAAAACACATATTTCAACTAAAAGTTGTTTTATTCAATGTCAATAACATATTTTCAATCTGTTCCATTTAAACACTATTTTAATCATAAAAGGTTGATTTCTGACAAAACTTTTAGCATTGTTCCTATTGAAATTTGCATTTTTTATTGTTTTAGTTTAGTTGCAGAATACATAAAAGAATGCCTTAATTTAAACATCTTCATTTTCCAGTTTTAATTTGTCAAACACACAAAAAAAAAAAATTTAATAGGAACAATGTTGAAAGTTTTGTCAGAAATCAACTTTTTATGATTAAATCAGTGTTTATATTGCACAGATTGAAAATATATTATTGACATTGAATAAAACAACATCACATGCATTTTTTTTAGTTGAAATATGTATTTTCGTTTATTAAAAAGATTATTTTTTTACTCAGGTAAATTAATCAATGAGTGATAGATTTCTCTTAGAAGAAATTTAAAGGTCCCAGTGAATAAACTACACAGAGAACAATAGCTATTGTATTCATTGAATGGGACAAAAGAACTTACAAAAGTTTAAACAGATAGAACAATAGGAGATGAATCTTTTGAAAAGTTTCATTTGGTTCACAATAACTTCAAGCATGCACCAAACTTTATCACAAAAGAAAGTTTTAAATGTATCAGTCTGTAATGTTCAATGTTAACCTTGTCTGACAATGGTGACCATGTTATTGCTGAAAAGTAAAATGATCCCCAATGAACATTCTTAACAAAACATAATATTTAGATAATGTGTTTCCAAGAACTGCCTCCTCAGTTGAAGATTTAGAACTCAACAACTGAAAGAATAAAAAACAAAATGTAAAAAGTTAATTGATATCGAAGAATATTAAAAATGTTTTTTTTTTTTAAAAGACAGATTGAACAACTGTAACTCCTTTTAGCCAGGTGAGTTGATATAATACAGATTTATAAATAACATTACCATGTCGTTTAAATCTTTTTCTGACATTATCTCTGAGAGCAATGTCTCTCTGTTCCTTCATATCACCCATTACTTTGGTCTGTAAGCTCAGCTGTTCTGATAACTCTGCAACCTGCTGCTTTAAATCATCTATTTCTTCCTTGGCCTTCCCTAGTTCTTCCTGAAAAAATTTTAAGAAAGATAAAATATACACTCATTTTTAGTGCGAAAGCTTCTTCTGATATTTTCCAATTAAAAGTTTAAACGTAACCCTCTAATAACCCATCATTTTATATGCTTATTTTGCTTTGATAGCAGTTTTTTTTCAGAAATTTAAATTATGCCCTGAAAGAAACGAAATTTCAACGTTTCCAAAAGCAGAAAAGGCCCTTCAGTTCCAGTTCCTATTAACAATGACTTTATAATTGGAGTCACAATAACAAAGTATTATTTTGAATCACTAAGCATTGTTGTGAAATTCTAAAACTGTTTTGTATAATTTTGCTAGCTGCTAATTATCTAACTTGATAACAATTTTATTTTTACACTTGAAGTTAGCTTCTAAGTTCTCCCTACCTGCATTGTAAATTTCTCCTTTAAATCATCAAGGTCATCATCAGAAAGACTACATACTATGTCTTCAGGGTCTTTATCTTTCATTTCTGTCAGGACATGTTTCAATTTCTCCCATTTGTCCTCTTCTGACATATTTCTACAAAAATTAATTTTAAAGATTTTTGTCGTGTTTTTTATGAAAATTGTCCAACATGTATAAAAAAAAAATAACCATTCAAAACCTTTACCTTTAGAGTGTGCATACATGTATGTAAAGAAAATTAATGTATAAACAAATAAAGCCAAAAGGCGGCTTTAGTTTTGTACTGTACTAATCCTTCACTAAGAACCCTTGATGGACTTGTCGTCAAGTTAGTTTATCTGCATTGGTCTGTATATATCCCTTCAGCCTAACCCCACTATGAGGGGGTGGACAAAGGGGTACCCTTCTCCCACCTCCCGCCCCCTATCTCCCACCTCCCACTTTTAGAATCTTTTTTTCTCTCCCACCTCCCTCAAAAGCTGTCCACCCCCTCCACTATGGTAAAGGACTGAGTCTAGAAACATGTTCCAATAGGACAAATACAGTAATTTTGTCAACCGTGAAAGCCCTATACTGTTTTGGCTGATTTTCGATCTTGTCCAAGACATTGCTAATATGAACCTATGATTTAAGTTTCATAAAATCTGTCAAGAATTGAACAAATGAGAGCCATAACGATGCAATTTTCTATATAAATAATGTTTCCAAGGGGCATAACTCTTTTAAAAATAATTGATCAGGACTGATTTTCGAACTCGTCCAAGACATTGCTGATATAAACCTATGATATAAGTTTCATAAAAATCAGGCAAGAATTGTACACGTGAGAGTGCTAACAATACTGGACGGACAGACTGATGCCCGGTGTTTCTATGTCCCCTGCAATGCGTTATGCAGGGGACAAAAATACTATAGCAGGGTAAAGTGAGGTATAAGATATCCCCAAAAATTATTTTAAATGTATACATACATGTGTTCTTGAGAGACAACTAGGTACAGTTCTTGGCTGTCATTCAGGACACTTTGTAAAAATATGTCATCAATCAACTGACTTGCTAAATAACCATTCAGCTCAAGAACTCTGAAAAATTATATTTTTTCATGAATGTTAAAATATAAAAAACATCATATGTGGATATCAAAATAAGATAAAAAAAAAGAAATGAGCTTATATGTGTCACCATCTAATCTTTTTTTACACCAAGGTTGACTGGGGAATAAAATATGGTCATCTCTAGAGTTCTCCTGTTTGCCAGTAAAAGACTTGGTAAAGAGGGGTGTCTGTTTAGCTTAGCTGAAACTATAAATACACAGCCTCTTCCCATGGGAATGGGGATATTAAATCCTATGTCTTATGTAGAGAGAGTGTCATGCTCTTTGCATGTTAAAGAAGCCTTGTAGCAACTCCCTGAGTGTTCCCTAGGTGGCCAGTTACAAGGCAATGATTTCTGCCACTATCCAACACACCCTCAGATTCCAAATTTCCTTCTCTTTATCCTGTTCAACCAACCTTGCAGAACCTACTAATGGTATTTATTATTATTTTCTCATCCTGAATATGCATTAAATATCTGCCACTGGACATTTAAAAACAATCAACCTATCTAAACTTTATTACAAATCTTTATATTTTCCTGTTTTTCATAACCAAAATAAACAAGATATAGAATGAGCTACTACTCACTAGTTTATACACCTACTCTTGCTTTTGAGTGAAAGTAAATACATATACCAAATAATATAGGGGCAGACAACTTAAAGATATAAGCAGGTGGTAACGTTTACCAATATTAAAATAGGTATCAAACATCAATAAGCTATGCTTCGTTGCTGAGAAAAATGTGAAATTTAAAAAAAAAACAGGATCAATGAGAGAAGAATATAAATGAATGTTGCAAACAGGAAGTAGATAAGTGAATAATGTGTCATTCGGTATGGCTTACCAATAGCTGTGTACCAAATATAAAGAAGCTCTAATTTGTAGTTTGAGGAGAAAAATGCAACAGTATATAAATAACACATAGCTCAGAGGGTGATAGAGCAGATTGTTACCCCGAGAAAACTTTGTCAACTGAGGCGAAGCCAAGGTTGACAATGTCTTTTCAAGGGGTAACAATCTGCTCTATCACCCTCTCAGATATGTGTTATTTAATTTATTATGCTGAATGTTCTGTTATTACTGTCTATCAAATTTCAAATTCAAAGTAATAAAATATGACGTATTGTTACATAACAATATTTATTAAAGCGCACACTTGAGCAAGCGTCTCCGTGAAGGGTAATAGAGTATTTAGCATGGAATAGAGTAAATTGTCTCCCTCATATTAACCAATCAAATTCACGCATTTTGATATGAAGAATAATAAAAATATTTAACAAATGGACAAACAGAAGGACAGATAGATGGACTGACAGAGTAACCAGTATATCTCACTATGTTGGATTTTTTTCATTTTTGGAATTTCACTTTTAAATAATTATATATAAGCCAAAATATTATTTTTGGCATAAAATATGGTAGATTTCTATGACATTAGTTTTAAGAATTAAACTCCTGAATCTGAAATCTAAAGGCTTTTTTATTCTGTTGCTATTAATGTTAGAATATATATTCTACTTGAAGAATACATGGATATATAAAAAGGAACAAACTGTGTGTCATACCTGCAACCTAACAGTGAAGCTAAGCTGTCTTCACATTTAACAACCATCAAGTTACCAGAAGAGTCTGTGTGCAGAGTCAAGCCAAACAGATTGCCATATTTCTGGATACAGACACACTTGACTTCCTGTCTTTCTTGATTTCCAAGAAGTTCAAACAGAGAACATCTGCTGGTTACCTGTTTCTTCTACATAGATGGTAATAAATAAGAATTATCAGTTAAGTAATAAAAAGTTAAAAAGGGTGAATACTTTTCAAGAGAACAATGATTTAGGAATTTCTTAAAGAGCACCATGGTTATCTCTATTCACAATTATAAATTAACTGTTTACAAAACTTAACATTTTTGAAATACTAAGGCTTTCCTACCTCAGGAACAGATTACCTTAGCTGTATTTGGCAAAACTTTTAGGAATTTTTGGTCCTCAATGCTCTTCAACTTCGTACTTTATTTGGCCTTTTTAACTTTTTATGATTCGAGCGTCACTGATGAGTCTATTGAAGACGAAACGCGCGTCTGGCGCAAATACAAAATTTCAATCCTGGTATCTATGATGAGTTTATTTTCATGCCTTTTTTAACGTTAATGCTGAATTTTACAACCATTTTTGAATTTTCTGCTGTTTTGATTGGAGTCACACTACAGAATTTAGAAACCTTTTTTAACACCAAATAATGATGACAACTGTTACCATTATTATTACAGCATTAATAAACATGCTGTTAATAATTTTTTCAATCAAACAAATCAACACTGATCTTTGTTTTCAATTTTAGACCTATTCTTGTTTCTGTTTTAAAAAAAATGTTTGATCACAGAAAACATCTAGAAAACAATTCCATTCACATTTAAACAAAGCCTATTTAAGGGCTATCTAGAACATGCAATGAGGTATGAACTTTTGCTCCATATTGAAAACCTCAATGCAACTTTCAGATGAAGAACAGCTTTTAAAGAGTTGTAGATTTGTTCCGCTACTTTTTGCAATATAAATAGATAATTGTCTTAAATTTGCATAAATTATATGCCACTGGTCATTTAGCAGACAACAACAATCAACTAATGGATTTGCAATTACAAATAGACTGAATTTTAAATTCAATTTCATGGAGAGTATCCAAAAGTTAGTTGGATAAATAAATCTATTGATGTATACCGGTAAAAGGAGAACTGACTATACAAATTTCACACAATAAAATATACAAAAAAAACATACCTTCCTTGGAGGTTTTTCTAATGTTTTCACTTTCCTTTGTCTGAACCTTCAATACAAATTTTTATAAATTTATATGAAGAATTATTTTAATTAATTACTCATGTTCTGTGTACTTGCTTAAGTTTGCATTTACTCTGAGCAAGAATTACATGTAAATTACTAAGTAAAAACATTTTTTTTTTCTAAACAAGTTGAAATCAGCATTATTTTTTTCAGTAACTTTAGAGATACTTTGAACACAACATGTATATACATTATTCGTACAATTTAGGAAAATATAAAATTTATTTGTACATGAACGAGCTTGTGAAACAGGAAAAGAATTCTTTTTTAATTCTTTTTGCATCACTTCATAATGATCATCTTTAAATATTTCTTAAAGATAACTTTGCTTTCTACACAAATACAGAGAGAAGATGGATCAAGAAAATTATATATACAAAATTTTTGCTGTACCCTGAAGATGGCTCTGACATGACGATTGGATCTGAACATTTCCGTAACTTTGCTAGGGGTGAAGAGACAACTGAAGATGGTGAAGTAGATGGTGTGGAATTATGGGATGGCAGGAAAATGACTGGTGACCTTCTTCCCTCTTTTGAAATTTGTCTGGCAGCTATGTACTTTTCACGGTCTAATGGTGATGTGAATTGTTCCAGATTGTCTTGTTCCTCTGATTCCAGTCGTAAGAGTTCATATACATGTGATAACAATAGTTCCTTGTCACTAACACTTATATGATCATAATTATCTACAAATAGTTAAATTTGTGTGATTATTACATAATTATCTACAAATAAAGTTAAAATAATGTGATTATTACAGCTCATTGTCATACTGTAAATTTAGAAATTAATGCATGCATTTCTTATTGCAACTATTTGACCATTGTCAAAAATCAAAATTTCATTTATGCAATTTCAAAAGGTTTTACCAAGGATATCACAAATGAAAATTATGAATGAGAGTTTTTATTACTGCGAACCTGATACTGTTGCATTTTTCGCATTAATAAAAACTTCAAAGTTATTCCTGAATTTACAGTAGTCGCTGATGATTAACATTCTTTTTGTTCAATAAATGTGTTACTTTTGTTCTAGTTTACATTGAATGAAAAATTAACAATCTTGCAATGATTGAAGCTCAAAACAATTTCAGATATCTTTAATTAATAATATATCTATTAAAGTTTTTGTTTACCCAGAAATGGAAGTCTGATTTCTGCCAGGTCTTCTCCTTTTACATGGTGTCCTACAATATAAGGAAAATATCAAAAAGTGATTATAAAGAGATTATAATTATATGGATCTTTTTTCTGAAAGGGAAAAATCTTACAAGTGAAATTTGAGGGGAAAAAATCTTAAAAGTGAAATATGAGAGAAAAAAATCTTACAAGTGAAATTTGAGAGAAAATATCTTACATGTGAAAGTTGAGCACTTTGTAGATGATACAGTACATAACCTACAAATCCATAATTTTTCTTTCAACTGCAAAACTTGGAATCAGCAGAACAATTTTTACAGCAGCAAATAACCTCACAAGATAAATGTACTGTGAAAAATACGGACTGACACTGGGATGTTAGGAGGTACAGGAGCATTAGCAGATACAAATGATGGACAGAAAGACAACCAGAAAGATGGACAAACTAACAGACCAACTAACAAACGGACAACCCTATCACTATAAAATATCCCGTTTAGAAAGTGGTCAGGTTAAAATTGTAATAAAGATGCCTTCAATCTGCATACATTTGTTTATCAAAGTGCTTGTAAGCACTGAAGGGTAAAGATTGCTTTAATTTATCAGTGGGGAGTAAAATTAAACATTGCAATGTATAAAGCATTGGTTGTAGTTGTTTCAACTACAATTATGGACAAAGGAAGATAATTCCCCTTTTAAAGATTACTTTAACAATGACATCATTGATATATTTAGAACAGATCTTATATTCCTGCACCTTGCACAAGTTATGTAATTTTCTTGAAAGTATAACATCATTTTGTAATTTGTATATCTGAGCATATATTTCATTGATAAATTTCTTGAAATGTTCATGGATAGGATGTTTAGAATGTTATTATCAATGCACTATATTTTGTTTATCTCCAAAGTAGTGATGAACCTTGGAAGATTTATATATCAAGTCAGTACCATAGGGTTTTGATTGCATTTCATGCAATCTTTACCCCCCAAAAAATATAAGGTGATGATAGTATTATTTTGGATGGTTTAATAGTTGTAATTATCACATGTGTAGGAGAGAAAACATATTTTTTTAAAGCACAGGATGTCTGGTCCCCAAGTCAGTATTTTTTTATGTTTTATTTACATATATGACAAACCTAAGACAAATTTCAATAAATAATGATAAAATTTCTTTTTGTATTGATCCAACTTACTTTGGAATGTTAGAATGAATTTGTGCAGTCCTTCTTTCTCTAGCCATCGTATCACATCTGAAGTGGTCCATTGTCGTAACTGTAATTAAACAGTAAATTTTAAATTAGGTAAATTTAGCATTGACTTCCTTCAATTTACAATACAGTATGGGAAAAAAAAGGTTAAATGTGTGCACAAAAAACATTTATTCTAGAGGTTTCAATGTGTAAACTGGGCTGATTAACTCATAAACTGAATGTAAGTCCAGAGTATGGTTTTATTTTGTTTGTATGTCTATATTTTAGGAGTCAGATGTTGGTGGTTGCTGTGTTCTGTTGTACTGTCCAATATTTTTGGAAATCCCTGTTATTCTTTTAACGTTTAATGTATTATAGGTATTAAGAGCACATAATCTTTGAATCTTTTAGTGGGATTTTTAACTCTCAAGTCAAACTCATCAAGATAAGAAATCTGTTTCAGACCTGAAATCAAGGTTGAATTTCATAGGTGTTTGCCTAGCAATCTGAAAATACGGATGTCAACATCTTATATATATGGCCACACAACATGCACAAAGTCTCTTCTTCGCAATAGAAAGAATCTGTTTTGTGACTTTACCTGTCTGACAATAGTAGGCTCTCTTCTCAAGCCTTTCTTTATTGTTCCACCTAAAAAAAGAATTAAAATAAGATTCAACAATCAGTCATGTTTTTTTAAGTTTTGTCTGGATAGAATATATCTAAAACTGACTATACTCAATATGTCCTATGATTAAAGTAAAAATTGTAGTACTCATGTATTATTTTAGGCTAGCCTATTTTCCTTAACAATTGTACACTTTTCCAGTCATAAAAGTAACATGAAGAGTATTTGCCATAAAAAAAATAAGCCCAAGTTAAATACCCTGACATCAAAATGGTTACTTACACAGGTAAGGTGGCTGACTGACAGCTAAGATTTACCTGTTCACCTGACGAGTGATCATATATCTCAATTTTGAACAATAGTATAATTATATAACAGACTAAACATGGTTTTCAATTCCTCTGAGTCAGTTAATCTATAATTTAATGTATTTACCATTTGATTTGTTGCTTTGATCTTCTGATCGGTTTGACCAATCAGACTGCAGTAATTGTTCAGCTGTGATCTGCTCTTTTTGAACTTCAGACAGTCTCTCTTCAATGACCTGCTTCTGCTCTGCATTGTCCTGCTGCAGACGAGATAAATTGTCAGCCAAACGGTCAGACGATTTTTCTAAGTCTTGCCTTGTGATGGACATTTGCTATAAATTCAATTTTGAAAAAGAAATTTACTAACAAGTACATGAAGTACAAATCAATGTACACAAAATCTAAAAGTTCAAATTAGAATATTTACCTCATGAACAACATATGCAAAAGTTTAACAAACTGAAATTCATTATTAAATCAATTTCAGTAACTTAGAATCGAATCAATATAACTGTCACTTCTGTATTCAATTTCCTTTGCAGATAAGTTTGAGTACACATATTATGATTCAAAAAAAATTTACTAATTTATTATTTTAGTAACTCTTTTCTGCCAATTTTGGTTTCAGCACCTGATATTTGAAGTAACAAGAAAAATGAATAACAGTTTAATGGTTTTGATTATGAATACAAGACAACCTTTACTGACAACTTTCATGTCAGATGAACATACCTTAAGAACTTTTACAGATGGAGGCTTAGAATGGTTTGTTTCCATCTCACAGATTGCACATTATTCCCTTAGACTCACACATTTGTTAAACAGGGATCACATTCTGTCAAGAAAAATGGTAACAATGTCAGGCAGAAGTTATTATTTTTTTTCAAATAAAATTTTTGAGATAAAAAACATTTATATATATATGTATGCTAGTATATAATGCATGTGGTTAATGTTCAAACATTTATGGGTCCTATGAAGTACAAGTCTTGAGCCATCATCAAATGTTGTATGTCTCATACAATAAAATATCAAACATTTTGTAAATGACCTTCATGCAATTTACTTCTACAGACTTTATCCTCATTCACCTGTAATTCATGTACGTATTATTGAAGGACATACATGTAATGTAGTAGAATTTATTTCAAAAAGCACTATTTTTTGCCGTTTTCGAGGTCAAATCAATGTACTAACATACAAAAGTTGACAATTGTTCCATAGGACAATGTAGTTAAACTGCACTAATAATAAAATTAAAATGACAAAAATTAATATATGTACTTGCAAAAAACTTGAATTAACAAACCAAAAGAAATTGATTGATGTTGAAATTAAAATATTTATTGTTTTCAAAGAAATAACATAATTTATAATAGTACTGATAACTTAATCATAGCAATACATATTCAAATAGAAAGGGGTGGTATCAAGTGCTCAAGAACAGCAAGTGTATCAGTCAACATAATTTTCAACATTCTGTGAAACTTTGAAAGTATTTAAAATACATATCTATCTGTTGCATAGAGAAATCACAGATGGTGGAGTACAAGATAACTCAGCCAGAAGACAACTTGGACAGTCTACATGCAGACAACTCTGATCATTAAAGGAGATAACTCAGACAAAGTATAAAAACAGAGTTGGAACTACTTAAAATTTTGAATGATTAAATTACTGTCAATAAAGACAACTGTGACCGTCTATGAATACAACTCAGACAGTCCATATACTATAGACAACCAGTCAAGACCGTCTCATAGACAGTGCCTGGTGTATTTTTCTATGCCAGTGATGATGGCAGTATTTAATGAATGATACATGTACATCCCATATCAATTTTTTTTCTTTTCAAATTTCTTAGATATGTATTTTTTCAATCATTTATAACAAAGAAGTTGAAATAATATGCTTTTTGTTCTAAAAAAAAGAGAAAAATCAAAAATTGACAACATGGTAAATTTGACACGAAAAAGCAACAAAATTTATAAAACTTTCTTATACATGTTATATTAACACCTACCCATAGTTTTTTAAGTTAAATTTATTCAGATTGGTCCAATTCATCTTAATTGAAAGTATGAAAAAAATGGAATTGTGAAACAGTGATTTTTTTCATGATAATAGCCCCAAAATGGGTAAAAGTTGATGAAAAATGGGAAAATCATCAAAATTGGGTACTTTAATGACTTTCAAATGGCTGTAGCAAAAAAAGAAGTGCACCACCATATGATTTTTTCTTCACCAATTATTTTTTTACAGTCATATAAACCCAAAAATCAGGTTAAGAAAAAAAGTTTAATTCTTTTTAAGAAATTTTTGGCTCCTCAGACATTTGTCAGAGGTGTACATCCTTAAAATCTCTTTCTTTTTTTTTTTGATATTCACTATATTGCAAATATTCTTATATCTAATTTGATACCCATTTTTATCAATGAATATAAGTTTATGATAAAACTGGGTATCAATTTAGGAATGTTATAAGAATATTCGTAAAATGGTGACTATTAACTAAAAAAAATGATGTTTTTTAATCAGTCAGGGGACTTATTGAAATAAGTGGTTTTTAAATCACTTATTTAAGTAGCAAATTCGAAGTTTTGTCACAAATTGTGATTTTGTAGTTTTACCAAAATTTTAAACACATAGGTTTAGATTATATCTTTTCATTAGTAAAATTGAAAAAAATGAACTTTTTGCTGCTTAAACTTCTTTTAAGCAGCAAGGTTTATGCCTTTGATGCAATCATTTAGCTGCAAAATCTATTTTAGTTGAAAAAATGCTATAAAAATGGCTTTACATAATGAACTGATACTTTCTTAACAGATTTTTCCCAGCAGTGGGAGTATTTTTCCTGTAAAATTCAAGGTTTCATTTTATAGATTATGTAATAAAATTCTACTGTTTTCAGATCAAAATTTCACTGTCGGGGGTGTTGGCATTAGTGGGGGTTATTAAAATAATGATACTTAAAGAAGTGATTTTTTGGAAGGAAATTGAGGTATGATACTTAAACAAGTGATTTTTATGTCATTATCCTAGATTTAGTACAAGGTCATCACCTGACATAACCCAGTCATCCTATCAACACAGATGTTGGTTCTGATAATTTTAGCAACATAATTAGTCCCTGGATCATTAGTAGTCTATATTTAAAGCTACAATAAAATTAAATCACTTAGTCTTAATTGATTAATTTGTACTACTTAAATAGGTGATTATTAAATAAAGACATCTCTTACTTCCAACCTTTATGGACATAATGTTACTTGAATCAGTGATTTAGAAAATCACTCATTTAAGTAAGTCCCCTGACTGTAATATATATAATCAAGGATTATTAATATTATATATATATATATATGTTAGGAACAATATGAAAAAGTGTGGCCGTATCAACTATGGCCTAAACAACTATGGCCAAACTGGTATCGTGGCCAAAGTGGTTGTGTGGCCGACCTGTCTTGAAAGCAATTGAGTCACCCTATTTGGAAGAAGAAACCCTAAATGGATAATTTACACAGATGGCACATCAAACAGTGAATCACTGGGACTATGTGCAAGTCGTCTTTCATGCGTTCTCGATTATGCAGTATGTGGACGAAATTTACCATTAACTTGCACATACATGTATTTCCTATGGCTGTAAGGGAAGTTGCTTCTAAGACTTACATTAAAACACTTTTGGCACGAAATCGTGAAAATAAATAGTTTGCTTTCAATTTTTAAGTTCTTGCAACATCTGATATAGTAAATGAGAGTGTAAATTAGCCTTACTTCTCACCATATGGAAAGGGTTTCTGTAGTCTGATAATTTCTCAAATATAACATCCGGTTTTCGGGTTTCTCTTATTTTGTCGTCTTTTGACAAAAAATTCGTATTTCTGTCGTGTCCTTGCCAAGGTACACCCTAAATTTAGATATCAAGTTTCGCTTTCCGTTTGCGATTTTGGGACTCGATATTGGTGTAGACGAGAGAAACAGCAAACATTGCAATGACAACATTTTTTGCAAAAGTTAAACAGTTTCCGGATGTTCCTGAGGATGAAACGATTACACTTGATCCATACTTAGAGGCAGCTGAGGGTGCCACCACAATCTTTGGTAAATATTTCAAAAGTCATGACGTGTCCCATATAATGTCCTCGAAGCTAGCTAATAATAGGCTTATTACTTTTAAACTAAATCAGACATTGGAATTTTATTTGTGTCGAAAACCATATGATAAGGAATAATAAAAAAAAAAAGCAAAAGTTATGTGTCCCATATCTTCTCCAAGCTAGCTAATATTATAAGAGGGTGGTAAAGGGTTATTTTCGTGCAACGTTTTCGGCCTTTTAATTTTTCACGTGTTTTCTTGTTTTGACATTTTATTTATTGTTTTCTCGTGTTTGGTTCGATGTGCGTGCTTCCTTCAATGTGTTAGCTTCGTGTTTCCCCTTATTTATTTTCCTTGTTTCATGTCGGTACTCTTAATTTCTCGTGCTTGTCCCACATTTGATTAAAAGGAAAATTGTACGTTCCCGAAGATTGTACAGAAAAATCCAATGTCCATTTCCCAGACATTCACGCGAAGATCACAGATGATGAAACAAGGAATCCATTAGACGATGAAAATAACCATGATTAAGCAAGCAAATACGACCCTGACTTTGAGTACGAATCCGACAAGGATGAAGCTATGCCAGTTACTTGGAAGATGCATAAGGGTCTCCTCAAAATTTGATTGAATTTGAGGATTATTGTTACCTTGTGAGGCTTGTTAAACAAAACTTCCCATTGGCTCTGATCAAGTTTTGTGCTAACTTTTGCTTAGTGCATGGTCCCCTCGTACATATTTCGGCCAACTATGATTGCACAAAATAATACCCCAAGATATGCAACCAAATGCTAAGTGATTTCTTCCGAATATGCGAAGCAGTTGCCATCGCGAGAACTAACGTTTATGTATATTTATATGTGTTATAATACCTTCTGAGATTTGTGTAATCTAATAGAACATGATGTATATTGTTACTATTCTACTTTTGTAATTCTATTGTATATGTATGGTATGTAATAAAGTCCATCAAATTACAATAAATAATTTTTTTTTTTCAAATCAGATGCAACTAGCGGATGCAAAAGGTTACCACAGGGTCTTAATGTCCATTAATAATGACTGCATGATCTCCAAGAACGGCTGAGTAATAACTTCTAGTACTTTTTATACGTATATTGGTATCACGTCGTCGTCTGCGTCAGCGTCGTCCGAAGACATTTGCTTTACGGAAATAACTTTAGTTTAAGTAACAGCACAGTGTATTGCACAACAGCAAGAAATCTTCAATTGAATATAAATTCAAATCATACAACCAATTTCAAGTTCTTTGACTACATTTATTCTGTGTCAGAAACCGATAATGTGTCAAATATTTAATTACAATCCAAATTTAGACCTGTATCAAGCTTGAATATTGTGTCCATTTTTGCCCCAACTGTTCAGGGTTGGACCTCTGCGGTTGTATCCAGCTGCGCTCGGCGAAGCAGTTTATTTCCTTAATATTTACGATTTTATTTTTTGTGCTTCGTTTTCAGACCCCCCCTTTACCACCCTCTTATAAGAACAGAGCCATAGCCACCTCTGCTTAAAGCGCATGCTTCTGAAGAAAAAAATGGTGTTATTGCCTTGTAAATTCATGTACCTGTCAGCTGTATAAAAACTTGTTTAAACTAGAGGAAATCCGGCCCTGAAGCTGGGGAAATATTTTGTACATCATACAATCATAAAACTTTCTCCAACATCAAATCCAGCATTTTGATTGGTTGAATTCTGAGTGTGAGTACTATACTCATGCTCCAAATTGTTATGACCACAAAGCCAGCAATGCTTTATTTCAGAATACATGTGACATTCTAACAATGCTAAATGCTAATGTAAAAGAATTGCATAAAACCAAAATATCTTGATGAATTGCAATATACATAAATTCATATATTTTTGTTTGAATTGTCTAAAGCTTATTTGGGATCAAATGTTAAAAGTTCATATAATGCCATGTGGTCAGGTGGTTGTTTTGTTTGTTTGTAGTTGATAAGATTACAATGGTACCTTGCATGCAATGAAGTTTTAGGAAAATCTTTGAAGTTTATTTTTAAGTAACAGAATACGCTCTCACTTGTGCCTCAGTCAGTCAGTGATATACCGGTACATGATATAAGCATCAGTTATTAATCATTTTGTAATAGTATCATAAAATGTATGATTTAATGATTGATTGATTGATGTTTAACGCCACTTTCAGCACTATTGTGATATTTTGTTGCGGTAAGTTTTTATTGATGGAAGAAGCCAGAGTGCCCAGAGAGAACCTTCCACCTTTGGTATGAAAACTGACAATCCTAGTCAATTAAGATTGGAGTCGCATGACGATTGAATGAAATTATGCAAAAGAATATAAAGAGTATCGAAGTGAGTCAAAATACAACATGTACAAGCTCTTTCAGTCCTATAGCGAAAGAATAAAAGTTCAAGTCTGTTTTTGTTTCAGATTTACTTGGGGTTGCCTTCACACCTGTAAAAAGTGACATAACAGGCAATATATCAGTAAGTTTATTCATTTCTGTCAATCTAAATATGGATATATGTGAAATAAATCTGAAGTAAGTATTGCTAGCTTCTTCATTGTTCTTGTAATAGCTGTAGATTAAATGTGTTAAACCCAAACGTATGCAGGTGTAATTACCTTGCAAACATGTTTTATAATTATAAGCAGATAAGAAAAGTTATAAGAAAAGGGGTTTTGAAAAACTGTCAGATTATGAAATCTGGGGATATATTTTCCTCAGTTGGAACTCCTGTAAATCTAAAATTAAATACTTGAATTTAAGCATGTGAGCAAACAGTTTTACCTGAAAAGTAATGACTACAGTTTAAAATTCAAGCAAATGCTCTAATAACAAGGAATTATTTGAATCTCGAATAATTCTGAATTCTGGAAAATTAATAAGAAATGTATGATGAAAACTTACCAAACTAAAGAGATTAATTAAATGTTCACTGATATTTCAGTATGAACTCACTAATTAACCCCCTTATCCATGCAGACTCAAATAATTCCTTGTCTTGTTACAATTCAAATAAAACTTTACAGTTTCAAGAAAATAAGTTAGGAACCTGTACAAGTTTTGGGTATAACTTAGATTAGTTAGGACATTGTTAACATCAAGTTAAACTCGTTATCATCTTGTTATATTTCTTATATCTCAACCTATGGGTTATTTTTTTGATGTGTGCAGAGCATTATAAAAGTATGTAGATATGTTTTGACATGGTTAAATACTGTAAAAGTGTATATTTTTGTGTGTTGTTATCTTCGTGATTTCATTGTAGAAAATTTTATGCTATGGTTATACTATTAAATTATTGCATGGAACAACCATACCCCCTTCACATCAATATTGTTTGTTTGTACAAACTATTTGCACATGGGATACATATATCATCCTGGCAATGCCTGGTAATCAGGGAATTTTGAAATACATGTATATTTTGTACAATCTTATTTCTAGAAATTATAGTATCCCATCTATAAAAAATCAATTTATATAGCATGACATTTAAGTAATATTGCATCACATTGCCATTATGCCGCAAGGTTTGTCGATCTATGTTGTAAAAAGGGGTATTGCTGTAAACATTAAAAAAATGGTCAATTTTGTCACTGAAAATGATAAAGACACATCAATATCTGGGATTTTTGTCGAGCCTGCGACTTTTGTCGCAGAAAGCTCGACATAGGGATAGTGATCCGGTGGCGGCGGCGGCTACGGCGGCGGCGGCGTTAGCTAACTTCTTAAAAGCTTTATATTTTAGAAGGTGGAAGGTCTGGATGCTTCATACTTTGTATATGGATGCCTCATGTTACAAAGTTTCCGTCAGTCACATGTCCAATGTCCTTGACCTCATTTTCATGGTTCAGTGACTACTTGAAAAAAAAGTTAAGATTTTTTGTAATGTTAGATTCTCTCTTATTATAAGTAATAGGATAACTATATTTGGTATGTGCGTACCTTGCAAGGTCCTCATGCCCGTCAGACAGTTTTCACTTGACCTCGACCTCATTTCATGGATCAGTGAACAAGGTTAAGTTTTGGTGGTTAAGTCCATATCTCAGATACTATAAGCAATAGGGCTAGTATATTCGGTGTATGGAAGGACTGTAAGGTGTACATGTCCAACTGGCAGGTGTCATCTGACCTTGACCTCATTTTCATGGTTCAGTGGTTATAGTTAAGTTTTTGTGTTTTGGTCTGTTTTTCTCATACTGTATGCCATAGGTCTACTATATTTGGTGTATGGAATGATTGTAAGGTGTACATGTCTAGCGGGCAGGTGTCATCTGACCTTGACCTCATTTTCATGGTTCAGTGGTCAAAGTTAAGTTTTTTTGAGTTTTGGTCTTTTTTTCTTATACTATATGCAATAGTTCAACTATATTTGGTGCATGGAAATATTTTATGATCTATTTGTCAGTCATGCAGGTTTTGTTTGACCTTGACCTCATTTTCAAGGTTCATTGCTCAGTGTTAAGTTTTTGTGTTTTTCTTAAACTATAAGCAATAGGTCAACTATATTTGTTGTATGGAAGAATTGTTAGCTGTACATGCCTGCCCAGCATGGTTCATCTGACCTTGACCTCATTTTCATGGTTCATTGGTCAATGTTTTGATTACTTGGTTAATGTTAAGTTTATGTGACAGTTGTAATAAAGCTTTATATTTAGGACTATCAACATAATATCAATGATTAGTAAAGAAGGCGAGACATTTCAGCGTGTGCACTCTTGTTAAGATATAGCATTTGTAAAACCATTAATTGTACGTGGCAATGTTATACTGACCCTAAATCAAACCCTTTATGACACTGTATAGAGAAACTGTCAACAATTTTCATGATTTTCATAATCTTTACCTATTCATTAAAAAAATTAATTCAAAAGTTAAACATAAGGGGAAATGCAAAAATGATCTCATCTTGTATTATTAAGATTGAAATTAAAGTTAATATAAAAAAGAAGATGTGGTATGATTGCCAATGAGACAACTCTCCACAAGAGACCAAATGACACAGAAATTAACAGCTATAGGTCACCGTACTGCCTTCAAACATGAGCAAGTTTAGGATTCAAACCATTGTTCCCATTAAATTGCATTGATTTCTGCACAGTCATCAAAAGTCTTATGCTCATTGCTATCTAGGAGAAAATACTAAATCAGCAAGTTAAGACACTTAAACTATACATTGACAAATGATTTTCAAATTTGAAGGAATTGAGCAAAACCTGATGGAAGGGGTAGGGTGTTAGTACTTAAATGTGTGTGTATAGCTTACATCTTAATTGTATGAAAAAAAGAAATGGTGTTTTATTGATCACAAGTCTGCTACAAATAATTATGCACATCTATTAGAATTTGTGAATTTTTCGTTTATATACTTTTTTGCATGGACGGGCTCATATGTTATTATTAGTATGCTATTTCTAACCATTTTTTTCATATAGAAATTAAGAAAAAGACAGGCTGAGGACAAAGAAAAATTTCCAACAATAAACGCTATTCTACAAGACGAAAAAGACAATAAAACTTCAAAAGAAGGTCAGATTGGTGCACTGTGGCTTAATAGGTACAGTATATTAAAATCTTTCCATATGATAGTACTGATTTTTTCTACAAGTTCAACAAAATGACTTTGATAAGATGAAATCTGCCTTTTAGAGACACATCTAGTTGTGATTCTATGCAAGTCTTTACAATTTTAAACTATTCCAGAACCTGAAGCATTTTGGGTAATATTTTCAAAAATGTACACCTAAACATTGTGGTTTGTTGATAATTACTTAAAACAAAATAATACAACCAATGACATTGTTGCTGTTTTCTTTTTTTTTTGAGATTTGAACAAAGAAATTACTCACAAAAATAGGCAAATTATAAAAGTTTAGAACTAGTATATAATGGTAAACAACAAGAAATTGTTTTCTATTACCAATACATACATATGTTTAATTGACTTTGTATAGTACTGTGAATTCATTTATTTTTGTGGATTGAGAAAAAATTGTATAATCATCGATATTTGATTTCCTGGTTTGCTAAAGTCTGCACACAAACCTTTAGAAAATTTGGCATTCGTTGAACTTTTAAATTTGTGGTTCACCTATACCCACAAAATCCACGAAAATTTGTATCCCACGAATAATAATGAATCCACAGTAATCTTTACTTTTCCTGTTTGAAATTTTTTATATTGTAGAACAAGCACATCTTATATTTTCACTAATTAATATCTAAATTTTTGGTAAACATTTGTAAAACACAATTCTGACTGATGAAGTAATATACTGAATTCAGTTGTACCATATGCTAGGAATGTATGTCCCTTGTGCATAGCTCTGATTCATTGTCCTGGATTGGCTTTACTTTTGGTCCTTTGTGGTTTATAAGCTCTTCAACGTTTGTATAAATATATAAGTTTTGGAGTTTCAAATACCTTGAACATCACTGAAGAGACATTTTTTGTCGAAATGTGCATCTGGTGCAATAAAATTGGTACCATTACTATTGTTATTAGTATTACTGCAGAAACTATAGAATTTTTTACAACCAGTTTGTTTGCAAGTGAGCAGTTAATATTGATTGTTTTGAGAGCTTTGTTTTCTTAAATTATTAGTTATGTTATCAAAATAGTTTAAACTAAATTCAAGTTAAATTAAGGTAAAGTTTTCTGAATCTAGATGATTCTCTGGAGCAGTTTTAATTCAATACCTATAAAAAAAATACAATATTAAAATCTACCAAAATAATTTTAAATTATAATCTGACTGCATTATCAACTTTGAATAAAGTTACAAATTACATTTAATTGACATCTTTGAAGGACATCTTGGATATATTTATTATTTCTTTGCTCAGAAAAGAAAATAACATTGACAATAATTTATATTATGTTTCAGGGCCTTGTTTTTTATACAGCAGCTTCTGGTACATTTGATTGACAGTTTGAGAAAGGAACCTGATGAAACAAAGTTCCGTCCTATTATTTTAAAGGCTTATGAAGAAACACTTAAACCTTTCCATGGCATGATTGTAAAAACTGTCTTTTCTGTAAGTTTATAAGGTAAAAATTAGTAGATGTGGTATGAATGCCAAATGAGACAACTCTCCACCAGAGACCAAATGATATAGAAATTACAGAGATAGGTCACCATACAACTTTCAACAATGAGTAAAACCCATACCGCATAGTCAGCTATATAAGTATCTGTTGGACAATTTGTAAAGAAAATTGAAAAGTGTCTCAATTCTTAAGTTCTAGGTAAATAGTCTACAACTACTTTGGTTTATTTTATACTTACATTGGTATCAGTTTTCATGGGTGTTGAAAAAATTGTCTATTTTAAGGGTACCTAAATTCCTGTTTAACATTATTTGCTGCAATCAAAGTAATTAATTTTTTTATTTTGACTAGTATTAAATTTCCTTGATTTCTTTAGCTCTTGAAGTTATTGATAATTGGTATCTGATAAATATCAATGAATCCACAGTATATCTTTCACCATTATAGTTGAGTTTAAACTCTCTCTCTACCGGTAGTCATTTTGAAATGATGACAAGGAGTATTTAGTTTACAATTTTGTACTAATTAGCTCAAGTTCCTTGTCATGCTTGTAAATGTACCAAATTTTCCTACATCAATAAAATTGATGATTTCATCAATCATGTTATACTTTGGATTTATTATTAATCATTGGATAATTATTTTCATCAATTTATAGTTAAAGATAAACTCAGGGAGTACATAATGATCTAAAGCCTTCCATGTAGAATTCAAAACTCATGAAATGAAAAATGAGAAAAATAAAAAAATTGTCCTTAAATCCACAAAAATATATACTCACAAAAAATAAAGAAAGCCACAAAAAATATTGAGCAAGAAAGAAAGCATATAGAACAGATTTTCTAGAGATACCAGGTTCAGTAACAAAAAAATACAGTCCACATACATTTGAGTTATCTGTATTTTTTAAAGCTTAGATTGAATCATATTTAATGAATGGTCTGAATTATATTTATTTTTCAGAGTAATACCACTTGCTTAAAAGAGAGATCTATGTTTCAGGTCATAAATCTGCTAAATAAATTGTTAAAAGTTTATAAAAGGTATTCACATAAAACCAACATTAGTTGCCTCCCTACAAATAAGATGTAATCAAAGGTAATTTCATATGCATCATTCTTTAATATTTTTAGACTGTTTCAAGAGCAGCACCATACAGACCTGATCTGATGAAATTATTAGCTCTAAATGAAGAAGGGAAAGATGAACAAGTGAGTTGTCTCCCCTCATCTATATCTGTCTATAGTGTCAAATTCATAAATGAAAAAAGCAAAAATGTTGTTGTTTCACCAATTTGTACATTTTTCTAACCTTCTACCACAAGGGCTCGTTTAGTGGGTCAGATGAGGTTTTACTGTCAATGGCAGTCGTTTTTCCATATGGTAATTTGAATAGGATACCGACCACCATGTGTTTCTACCAAGGTCTTGTGTGCCTACCATGCAACAAATATTAAATCTTACAGTACATGGTAACATCTCCTTACATAAAACCTCCTTTACCACAAATGTAAGCCTATAGCTTAGTTTTTAAAAAAATAAAACAAGATGTGGGGTAAATGTCAATGAGACAGAAACCCAGAGACAAAAGACATCTATATGTCAATAAACAAGTACTGCATTTTCTTTTTCAATTTGAATAAAAGGAAATATGGGGTCAATTCAATGAGTCTGAAATTCAACAACACTAGTGTATATGGGAAGTGCTTTTTCCGCTATGTTTAGCTTTTTATCAGATATGAACAGAAAATGCAGTTTGACAAGTTTTTCATTAATATTTTAGATAGAAATTTTACATTTATAAGATTCTACAATATAAAATAAATCATGCATTATTGTAAGTTATAAAAAAATCGCTGTAGTAAATATGTACATTATTCTATTTTTAGAAAATGTGATATTTTGGATGTCACACATAGACAATTGAAGTTGTTCATTTTATTTCATCATTTCAAGTTGAGGAAATTACAAATTTATTTAATGATCAAATTCATTATTTGAGGTCCCCGCAATATAGCCTTTTTGCGCTGTTGTGGTGTATAGCACACATCAATCAATCAATCATTATTTGAGGAAGATATGAAGTCAATTTTTATTCAATTTCAGGTAATTGCAGATATGGAATCCTATTTAGTAAATTTGAGAAAAAATAATGATGCAGTTATCAAAATACTTAAAGACCTTGGACTCTATGCAGATGGAAAAGTGTAGAAGAGACATGGTTTTATTAGGGGAAGACTCCATGAGTTTTTGACATGACAAAATTTTAAAGTTGCTATTCACCAAGTCTGTCAGAACTATCTATGAATGGGACAGGGAAACAGATTCTTAAAATTCCAAGACTAGTTTCAATATAACTAGTCTTGAATTTTGTACATGGGCTGACCATATAACAAATTTGAGTGAACTAATTTTAGGTGCAGATTTTGTGTACAATAAATTATTACAGTAACTATTCTTTAAGTTGGACATCTTATACTTTCAACATTCCTTTGATCTTTTTGGTAATGATTACCGGGTAGAAAAAAATGGTTTAAAATCAAGGGTGAGTTACTTATTTGAGGAAAACCAATTTTTATTGATATCTCTGATTGAAAAAACTATAAATTCAAATACTATGCAAAGCACTTATTTCAAATCCCTATGACAGGGAGGAAAAGCTGAAATGATCTCCAAAGGTAAATGTTGACTTTGACCACTATGTCACCAAAGCCCCAAAAAAATCATTCATATTATTATTTCAAATGAAAGGGATTTATTTTAACTTTCTTGTCTCAAATAAATTTATTTATTTTTTGATTTATATTTATATACGTAACATATTTAAAACCATTTTAAAATGGTGATCATGTTGTATAGATATCTGTTGCTTGTTATGGTTAATTGTTCAAATGGCAACAGATGAGCTGCATCAGATAGAAATCGACCTTATGCAAGTGCACGTATATATGTACATGTATAAGACTTTGATTGATTTTGGAACATTCAAATATGAAATAAAAGTGAATTTTGGTCTGTTTTGTATGGTTCTTATAACAAATCAATTTTCAAACAGTTTCAAACTTTCCATAGAGATTTTTTTCAACCCAAAATAGGTTAATAGATGTATTGATATTCATTAGCATAAGGTCGATTTCTATCCTATGCAGCTCATATGATATATTATTTGCTAAGTTTGTTACATTTGTGTAAATTTATATGAATCTAAAAATTAGAAATAAGGTATTTTCACTAAAAATAAAACACCTGATTTTCTATTTTAAATTATCTTAAAAGTTTTGATGCTATAATTGCATGTCTGTTTTGTTATTTATTGTATGGCAATTTGTTATCGTTCGTCAAATACCGGAAAATGGACATCAACGTTAGGTTTTAAAGAAAAAAAGCAACATATTAGAATAAACGACAAATAGTAGGAAACAGGAAAATATATTATGAAAAATACAATTTTTGACAGCCAAGGTTCCTCAAGATGATGTTCAACAAACCTATATATATAAAGGGAGGCTGAGCTAAGTTTGCTGTTAATATAAAACTCAAGTTGAGCAAAATGTCATTCATTCAAAATTTATCATTAATTGAGAATGACATATTAACAATATCAATAGTAGCAAATAAATGACAATGACATTAAAAAGCAAAGGTGGGGTTTAGAAAATGCCACAAATCCCCAAAGGGGTTCCCCACCCGAGGACTCCCTGTCCAGAACAAACATAATTGTATGGTATATAAAGCTTGGGAAAATAAGCCATTTCTGACAACCACAATGCAGAGCAAGCCATGTTGACTTCTATAGTTGATATAGACGAAAAGACATGTGAAAATAAAAACAAATAGTTAATTACAGTCATGTGAAAATGTTCACTTAAAAATTCTAAAATATAAAAAGAAAAACAAACAAATAACATTATTTCACAAAACACAATGTATTTGACATGTTGAATGAAAAACAAATGTAGAGCAAGCCATGTTGACCTCTACCCAAATATACTTAAATGTACGAAAAACTGTAGATCAAACCATATTGACCTCTACTAGTTAGTCTAGAATGTTAAACAAAATAAAAACAAATAATTACTACCAAGAGGACAGAAGATTATTTACTTACATACAAAAATTATCAAGTCTTATGTAATGCTGAAAGGCAATAGACTTCCATCTACCCATGTTTTAAATCATAGCTAAGGGCATGCACTCCTCTGGCAGCTGCTGAAGTTGCAGCCCCAATTCTAAAACTGTGACCCTTATAAAGATTTGCATCCAAACCAGCAAACAATAATAAACTATAAGAGGAATTAAAGTTAAATGATGAAACAGGCTTTTCACACTGAAATCTAAATAGAGGACCGAGTTTATGATTTGACAACCGTAAATACTCCAATAGAGCAGTAACAGGACAATCTGTATTTCCTTTAACTTGTTTTCTAAGTTTTAACACATTTTAATGCTCTCTGAAACTGTTTCAAAGTTCAAACAATTTCAGCAATTAAAGTAGATCTAAAAAAATGTTTTAATACATTTTTTGTCAGTACAATGATACCAGTGTTAAATATCTATACTGTGAGTGAATACCAGCATAGTTAAATATTTCTCCAATATAATTAGATATATTCGTCTACCTATATTTTTGATGTGCAGTATAATTTGCGTATTTGATATTTATATTTTGTAAAACATTTTTATACAATGATATTTTTCCAAGTGGAAGTGTATGATAAAAAGATCATAACATGACATTTTTCATATCAGATGTATTATCAGCCCTCAGTCGAAATCAATCCAAGTACAGAGTATACCTCATTTGTACTCTGTCACTTTATACAATATTATAATTTATGTTATATGTTATATCAGTAATACAATTTATATTGAGGTTTGATTGGTTTTAATGATATTTATTAAAAATGTATCGTTTTTATGTGCAGCACATGGAGTCTAGGGCCACGGACATAAGTATTCATCAATTAAAATTTTTGCTATATATTTCATGTAAAAACACACTCTTTATAAAAAATAAAATTGAAGGCACATATGGTTGAATTTTTACAATCCATGTTTTGAAATCTGCAGAATTGTCTGAAGTTTATTTTTTTTTAGTCTAAATTTTGTCCGTTATTTTGTTTTCTCCTGATGTAAACACACATGATAATTATTTAGGAATTTATTTAAGTTGGAATAAAAACACTAAAATTTAGGAAATAAATAAGCTAATTAACCTTTAAGATTCTGCTTATAGTGGTACCAGAAATGACCCAATCATTACAATACCAAGTGGCAGTTTTATATTTCTAATCATAGAATTAAATTTTAGAGGATGATAGAAGCTTTTATACTTGCATTCATTAAAAAACCTGTGCAATATACAATGTCGTGATAAAATGCTAGTACTTGAAACAATAAAATTTCATAGTATATTTTTCCTGCATGTCAAGAGTTTTCCCTGCCAAAATAACCAAAATATTAAAACTATTTCATAAAGTTTAATTTTCACATAGAAATTTTCACTAAATCATGACTATATGTCATGTAAAACACAATTACATTTAGTTTTCATAATAATAATGAAAATTCCAAAGAAATTTTTTGACCTCACTTTGGTTTATTTCATTTAAGTGAACAAAATGCAAATATTCATGACTTTTCAAAATGAAAATTCTGCTTTTCAGGACTTTTGTACATTCCATGGTAAATTTGTATGTATATCTTTTCCTAAAAAGTTCAGCTGAACCATTTTAATGTCCAAAAAATAATGTGAAATTAAAAATATACAAACCTTTATATGTATGACTGATTGCATAATTCTAAAATTATGTTTTAATTGTATTCATTTTTTCAGCGTTTATTTAGATCTGCTTATGTGCTTTTAGATCTCTCTATACATATTCATATTGTATTGATTAAAATGGCAGAACTGTGCAATAGGGCTATTTCAGAATGTCTTTTCATGATAAAGATTCAAATTTAAATCTCATTTAAAAAATGCTATTTATTTCTAAAAATAATTGTGAGAGGATACCACAAATTTGGAATTTCTAGTTGGGGTTATTTTTGTTTCTTTCTGCTTTTCTGAAAATCTAAAAATTTTCAAAATGGGAAAGTTTATGTTACCATGTTTGTCAAAATAACCCCTGAAATTATTTTTTTTATTAAGTCTCCCAAACGAAGTTTGGGAAGACTTATTGTTTTTGCTCAGTTCTTCTTCTTCTTCTTCTTCTTCTTCTTCTTCTTCTTCTTCTTCTTCTTCTTATTCTTCTTCTTCTTCTTCTTCTTCTTCTTCTTTGCTCAGTTCTTCTTCTTCTTCTTCTTCTTCCGCCGCTTTTAAATTTGAACTTGTCCGCACCCATTCTCCAAAACCGCTTGTCAGATTAACTTAGGGTTTCACAATATGTTAGACTAACATGTCTAGTGGTGCAATCAGGGTTTTGTTTGTGCAATGGGGTTTATAAAGGGGTACTTTGAGGGGCAAAAAGAAAAGAGGGTTTTACTATAAAACCCTATGGGATTTTATTTTTTAAAATTTTCAAATGATTATAAATTGAAAACCGTTTGTGATAGACACAATCTTTTTAATTGAAAATGTTCTAAATGATAAAGCCCATTAAATGAAATACAGGGTTAGTCCCCAGGGGCCACCCCCACCCCCTGCCATTTAAGAAAGTTCTAATACCTTGTAAGTGGTCAAGATCCCCACCCCTAAACCATATATATTTTGGTTTGTTATGCTAAGATGGTTTGAATGATATACTGGGTTACTCCCCAGGGGTCATCCCGACCCCCTGCCATTTGAGAAAGTTCTAATATCCTGTAAATGGCCGAGATCCCCACCCCTAAACCATATATATTCTGGTTTGTCATGATAAAGCACATCAAATGAAATACAGGGTTAGTCCCCAGGGGTCACCCCCATCCCTTGCCATTTAAGAAAGTTCTAATATCTTGTAAGTGGTCAAGATCCCCACCCCTAAACCATATATATTCTGGTTTGTCATGCTAAGATGGTTTGAATGATATACAGGGTTAGTCCCCAGGGGTCATCCTGACCCCCTGCCATTTGAGAAAGTTCTAATATCTTGTAAATGGTCGAGATCCCCACCCCTAAACCATATATATTCTGGTTTGTCATGATAAAGCACATCAAATGAAATACAGGGTTAGTCCCCAGGGGTCACCCCCACCCCCTGCCATTTAAGAAAGTTCTAATATCTTGTAAGTGGTCAAGATCCCCACCCCTAAACCATATATATTCTGGTTTGTCATGCTAAGATGGTTTGAATGATATACAGGGTTAGTCCCCAGGGGTCATCCCGACCCCCTGCCATTTGAGAAAGTTCTAATATCTTGTAAATGGTTGAGATCCCCACCCCTAAACCATATATATTCCTATTTGTCATGTCTCGAACATTTGAATGACGTATACAGTCAGTCCCCAGGGGTTCCCCCCACCCCCAATGTTCTAATATCTTGTAAATGGTTGAGATCCCCACCCCTAAACCATATATATTCCTGTTCGTCATGTAATGAACATTTGAATGCGTATAGGGTCAGTCCCCAGGGGTTCCTCCCCACCCCCAATGTTCTAGTATCTTGTAAATGGTCGAGATCCCCACCCCTAAACCATATATATTCTGGTTTGTCATGCCAAGATGATTTGAATGATATACAAGGTTAGTCCCCAGGCATCACTAATGCATATAACTTTACTGGACCAAACCAATTTTCACTGGACGTTGCCCAATGTCAGGTGACCCTGGGAATTACGAATTATGGGAGCTTCGTTTGGGAGACTTCGTAACAGCATCCTGTTACAATCATTTCTTGTTTATTTTAGTTAAACCGTAAACCACGAAATAATGCATTATTATATTTTGAAAAAGCTTTTACATATTTTTTGAAATAATATACTAGATCTACAGCTGTTTTTAATATTTTTTTTATAAAAATTTCTTTGTTGTGATGTTTATGCATTCTATGTATCGAGGAATTAATCTGTTGTTTTATACATACTTGGCTTTACTTTATATCATTTACAACTTAATTTATAAGAAAATGTTATTATGATATATATTTATATAAGGTCTACCAAATATCATGCTTTTAATCCTTTAACATACTCTACCATTCCAAAATTTTTTTTAAAATTATATGGTTGGATTATGTATGATCATGATGAAGTCATAAACAAATTTATTCTTTTTATGTATGTTAATTCGCTGTTTCAGAATCAAATGCATTATGGGTTATATTTTTTAAAGCATACACCAAATCATTGTGATTCACTAACAACCTCCTAAACAAAAACATTGCAACTAATTATGACGTTATTTTCCTTTTGGGGAAAACACAATAAAATAACCCATAGTTCTATAGATTCTGAAAGTGAGAAATAACACATGCTATTATATTTGGGTACTGGATAGTGGTATGGGGTATTTTCTTGCAGGGGTTCTTAGTTGTTATATTGTTTTTCTATTATCGCTAATTTTTATTATTCACCCATGGAAGACGGGAAGTATTATGGTATACCAATTTCTGTCAGTTCCTCCGTTTATACAGATGTCCGTCTGTCAACACTTCATACAATAACTCAGATTTGTTTAAACCAATTTTCATGTTATTTTTACACAACATTAGTATTGAGGTATGAATGCTCCCTTTTGATTTTTTAATTATTTTCGGCTTTATTGTTCCACAGTTACGGGACTTGTACTGTTTGAATTCAGACAATTTTTCATATATCGCACACTTACTCAAGTATACCTGGATTGATTTCCTCATAACTACATTATAGTAGGGATTGATAAAAGGAAGCTCAAAATAATTTTTTTGATTAAATATCATTTCCAAAGTTATGGGACTTTGACCTTAAGCTAAATAAAAGGCATTTTTTAAATGTCAAACACTAACTCTAGTTTGCTTGGATCAAATAACTACGAACTTAACGTTGTTGTTGGGATTAGTGAATGTAGATTGGATTCTGAAAATTTTCTGGTTTTTCATTCCAGAGTTAATTGGATTTTTAAAAGTCATATTTGACACAATATTTATACACCTCAGATCCTAATGCATGTTTTTCTACAGAGCCATTTTATTTGCTTCTGATTAAATGCCTTCTAAATATCCCATTTTATTTTTGCAATAATTTCAATATGCACAATAAGGGCATATTATGCGCTCTTGGCACAGCTGTTTATGGCTTTTGTTGAAATGTCTATCTTTTCCAAGTTAACTACAATGTAAAATGTTTCTGCTAATGTAATGTTTGACCTTTTTTACCTCGTAGTTTGAATTAATTGTGGGGTATGTTTAGCACCACAAAGCATACAATCTTGTTGATTTAATTTATAGAAAAAAGTCAATAAAATGCAATCTGATTAGTTAACTTACTATTGTTGATTTAAATCTTTTCTGACTTTGTAAAATAAAATTCATGTTCATTTCACATTATATACAAAGCAAGGCAGCTAAAAATAAACCTGCTGAAAATTATATGATTGAAATATTTGAATATTTGAAAATAATGTAATTTTTTATGCAGAAGTGCACTTATAACCATATTAGGAAATTGTTGTTACTATTTTTATTGAAATTGTTCACACCAGTAGATTAATTATGTGAAATTTTATAAAACTTATTTGTTATCACGTAGAATACACAGCTGTTTTATCTGTATAACTATGTGCCTTGCTTATATTATTGATTTAGTATATGTTAAATAAAAATTCTTACTGTGATTCAGTCTTGTAATTCCTACAAGTGATTCAAATTAATCGATATAGTGAATCAAACTCTATTTACTCAAGTGGGCCTTTGGTTCCTAATTATCCCTATTGTGAGGCATTTTAGTTGAGTGTATATTACAGTGTTTAGGGGACTTCAATGGACGAGTGGTCTAAGAAGTTAGAACAAAAACTACTGTATTACTAGCCTGTCAACACTGAGGTGCACTTCACTCCAATCTTAATTGACTAGGATTGTCAATTTTCCTACCCAATGTCTGTGGTACTCTCTGTGCACTACAGCTTCCTCCACCAATAAAAGCTGTCTGCACCGATATAGCACAATAGTGCTCAAAGTGGTGTTACTCACCAATCAATTACAGTGTTTATTCAAATTTTCTTTGTAAAATTAAATTGTTGAAACTGAGCTACACCGGCTCTTAAGACCATCTAGTTTATAAAGTGGATTTTCTTGAATATTGTTTTATTAATAAACGAGCAAAATTTATGGTACCTTTCATTTTTTGGTTTTCATACATAAATATTCATCCACTTTATAATAATATGGAGATGTAGTATGCAGGTGCCCGTGGGAAAGCTATCCACCAGACTGACCAGAGACCAAAGAACGTGGATGTAAAGAATTAAAGTTCATTGTAAGGACTTCAACAATGAGCAAAACCCATACTTTATAGTAATGAGTGCTGGGCTTTTGTGCTAATTGGCATTTCATTTGCGGCACAAACCATATTTCATTCACGCAAAAATAAAACATTTCATTTACACCAATAATACAGGAAAATAGTATGTACATGTATTATAGATATGTATTCATCATAAGTCACAGCATTATGTATTTCCCCCTCTTTTTTTTAAGGGTGGGTGGGTAAAGAAGGAAAGAAGGATAATCTTTCAGAAATGTCATCAAATGTTTTTGAACTCTGATTCTGAATTGCTGAGATTTAACTTTCATGCTGTCCACATTGTTTTGCTATTCTGGCTTAGCTAGTTTTTCAATACATAAGATAATCTACATGTATATGTGTTTTCATAAAAAGTGGACTCACTCAATTACCCAAGGGGTGGTGTATTTTTTTAAGAGCACCTTGTATTCCGGATTCACTTTTCCATTATATGCTACCTATAAAATGGCACAGAAGCAGAATTCATTTTTTGGTGCAAATGAAATATAACCTTGTGGAGCAAATGAAATACTGTATTTTTTAAATTGAACCAAATACAATGAACCCATAGAGCTCTACAAAAGCTGTGGCATGGCAAACAATGAAACAATTCAGAAGAGAAAACCAAGGACCTGATTTATGCTAAAAACAAAAAACGAAAAACATACATGGCAGACAGCAACAAACGAAAACCACTGTAAAACAGTCTCCTATTCATTTGATTGTTTTGGTTTTGTTTGCAGACCCTTTGGTTATATAGCCGCTGTTGTATTTATTCATTCAGCTTTCCCCCTTTTTAATCTGGGCATTTCTGATGAAGGATTTATTCAAACTCCAAACACAGTAGCATCTGGTATATTTCTCTTTTCCCATCCCAGCTGAAAAATGGTCATTTTCAGTCTATTTTTCTATTTTAATACAACCTTGAGAGGTGAACATTGACAAAACTGTGTTTCTTTTCATTTAACTATTACCTTGTAGTTACAGCAGTCCATCTATACTGACTGGAAGTAAATGTGACTTGAGTGTCTTGCTCTGGAATTATTGATTGCAAGCCAGGTCTGCCAAAATGTCTGTTATTTACAGATTTCTTTACAAAACAGTGAGTGAGCTAGTTTTTACAGAGCAGAATTTTCTGGCCATATAATACATCCTTGTGTTTCTGAACTACCTATGCATGCAAAAAATTTTCCTGAGCATTATCAATTTCAATACTGTGGATATCAATTTTTGTGAATTAATGGGGATTAAGTCTCTGATGCATGATTTTTTATTATTAATTGTTTTTGGCTTTTTAAAAACTAGCTTTCAGTAACTGCGAGTACTCTCAAATCGTACTTTCGTGTTAATTTGACCTGTTGACACAATTTGTAATGCATTTTTGTTATTCAATGTTTATTTATTTTGTGTTGTATCTCGTCTCACCATTTTTAATATGTACCACCTTTGATAAGTATTAAGTATGACGATAAATTTTCACTTCTATACTCGTACTGTGAACAACAAATTTATTTATTTGGTAAAAAATATTTCCGTACTAACAACAAAATTATTTTAATTAAATTTACCTGTGTTCGTTATTTTATTTAACGCCATTTTGTCCTAGGTTAGAGTTGTCTTTGTGGCATTGTTTTACATCTTTTTTCATTAATATTGTATTTATATTGTGTCATAGATCAAATTTATTCGTTCAGTGTATGTTTACTTTGTTTTTGTTTATGTCTTTTTGATCGAGTTAAGCCATTTCAATTGATATTTTATAGTGTGTCTTTTTGTGTTGTGATGTTACACTGCTGTTTCAGGTTAGGGTGAAGGTTGGCGCCTGTTGAAACCCGCTGCATTTGTATGCACCTGTCCTTAGTCAGGAGCCTGTTGTTTAGTGGTTGTCTTTTGTTGATGTGGTTCATAAGCGTTTCTCGTTTCAAGTTTTTTATATAGATTAGACAGTTGGTTTTCCTGTTTGAATTGTTTTACACTAGTCATTTTGGGGGCCTTTAGAGCTTTCTGTTCGGTGTGAGCCAAGGCTCCGTGTTGAAGGCCGTAATTTAACCTATAGTTGTTTACTTTTTACACATTATGACTTGGATGGAGAGTTGTCTCATTGGCACTCATACCACATCTTCTTATTTCTATTGTATTTAAGTGGATATTTGATTGCGTGGTTTAGCCAAAGTCTGCATATATGCCAATAGGAAATTTATACTTGGTTCAACTCTTTAAATTTGTGGTTAACCTATACACACGAAATCCACGAAAAATTGGTATCCAACAAATAATAATGAATCCACAGTAACAAGTACAGTTTTAATTATTTCTAAGCAAAGTTTAAATCAAACTAATAAGGTGCAAGAAAAACATGTTAACACTTGTACATGTTAGGGCTTTAAAAGGAACTGCTGGCATTAATGTGAATACTAAAAGATCTCTCACAATGTTCAGGCACATTCAAAACAAATCACAGAAAAATTTTGTATCATATATTTTTTTCTAATAACAAATGAATGACATTATATAATTATTATATATACGGAATGATCTATTAATAGCACATTTATACAATATAACAAATAAAATTTTCATAACAAGCTTATCAGCAGTACAAAACCGAAAGCAATCTACAAAACAAATATTCGACCCTACTATTGCACTATTATACAGTGTACAATATTAGACCAAATTATTGCACAAATATACAGTGTACATCACAGCAAATCTCATTTATTTCTTTGATTATCAGATTATTTCTCCTAAACAACCCATAAGCAACCATTAAATTGTTCTTTCTCAGTCCATTAGAAACTTTTGCTCAATAGGTAAGAAAATATGAAATAAATAGGACATTTAATAATTGTTTATACTTTTACAGATTTATGGACTTTGACGGGTGCCACATGCGGAGTAGAATCCGCTTACCTTTCCAGAGCACCTGAGATCACCCCACTTTTTGGTGGGGTTCATGACACTCAGTCTTTAATTTTCTATGTTGTGTATTTCGCCTCTCTTTTACAGATTTACGTAATGTCAATTAATCTCTATCTTTAAAGTCAGCCACCCTTCAAGGTTTTCAAGAATATTTTGTAAGTGTGGCAGAATTAATTACGGCACTACTAACAAAAGATACATTTAGATTCTAAAAATTACATGTACATAGAATATTGTGAAAAAAACTCTTCTCAAATATTCAGTTTTATGTATTATATAAAAGAGATAACGGGAATGAACATTTATAAAAAAAATCACACAAACAACTTTTATTCAACTTGAAAAAGAAATAAAACCTTTGTAAAAACGTAAGGTAAAAAGCTCCAGGTATATTCATCAATAACAGAAAATCACCAAATATAAAAAACAAAAAACTCCCTTTAATTTTTAGTACTATTTTGAAATAAAATGGCAATGTTGACTATAAGTTTACTATGTTAGTTCAAGCATTCAAACAGTTTTACAGATATATCTTACTAAAAACATCGACAAATATTGTTTGATTTATTACATTAACTTTGGTAAGAATGAATTGCACCATAAATCGTTCAACCCTTTTTTTGGTCAGAAGTCAATGCTATTTAGACACAGAAAATACTCCATGTTTTTTTGTTCTTAAAGAAATTGAGTTTGCTTATCTTTTAAAATATTTTTATAAGAATTTTAATATTATCGAGCTTGAAATAACAACTGCCTTTTTAAATAGTGGATAGGTTAATTTGACATAATTTTGACAAGTATATGATGGTGTTATGTACAGGTATTGAAATACACAGAATATTGCACTCTTTAAATGCTACTTTGACTATCTATGCAAAAAACAGAAAAAAAAATCTAATCCATAGCTCTATTTACTTTTTTCTATGACACTAGTTTGGCACATCACTATAAAGCAAATACATCAATTGAAAATCATCCAGGCACCGATCCAGGCACTGATCCAGGCTTTAAATTGAGTGCAGCATTGAACCTAACAATTTTGGCAAACAGAGTGAAATGAACAAATTTTTGGCATGTTCTTTGTAAAAAAAACCAACGTTTTTTCATGAATTTAAGGTGTATCCCACACCTGAATCGAATCCTGCCACCAGCTTGTTACACTGCAAGATCAAACTAGATTTTAATGCAACAGTTATGGTGAATGAACAAAATCAATGATTATCTGTCAGATTTTTAACTAAATGTACACAAAAACAATATAACAAAAACAACTAATACAAATGTTAAAAAATATTCAAAGCCTTCTGTATAAAAAAGAGAAAGCTGAACTCTGTAAATAATTCATCTTGTTTGTTCACTGTGCTCAATTCCTATTTTGATCAAATGCTAGCCTGTATAGTTTACTCTGATTAATTATTGTGACATCCATAACGGCAAGTTGGGACTCAACCTAATTCTAAAAGGAAAGTAAATCAATCATTTCCCCAAAATAAGTGGCAACTACCATTTTACAGGGGTTTTTTATTTGATCTATTTTTTTATGATTTTTAATCATAAGTCCTACTTTAAGTTCTGAAATCATCAGATACTTTTCCCTCTACTTTCTCTGTACATTTTTTAAATCAACTGATGCAATTCAACACTCCATGTTCCATCATTCCAAGTCAAAGATGCATCTATACAACATATGACTTACTTGCTTTTTATCAGATTTCTCTTTAATATAAATGCACAAAATATGAACATGTACACATAAAACTGACCATTTCATATCATGAACATTTGGGGTTAGCATTGCAATGTTAGGTGGTACAATGATACAATATTGTAATGACATTAAAATACACCGCCTAAACTTAACACATCAAAACAAACATCACAAACACGAACAGGTTTTTGTTGATTATATTTCACAATAGGCATGTCTTTAGATGAACACTTTGCACAAAGAAGTCTTCCACAGTGACGACTGAAAGAAAAAACAAATTCACTGATCAGTGAAATAAAAAAAAATCCAATATACAGTCAAACCTGTATAAGAGCTCAACCTCAGGATCCTAGAAAACTGCCTTAAAACAAGAGGTGACCTTTGAATCCAGGTTCAAATTGCATAGATATTAAAATGTACTACAATATTGGGACAAGAATATGATGACTTGACAAGATATGTTTGCACATACTATAGTTGATCTTTATAGCAAGTTTGACTGTAATATTCAATATTCTTTCATTTTCAACAATAGCCCTATCAGCATAACATAATAAGTCATGGTCCAAAACAGCTAGTTCAAGTCATCCAGATTGATATCTGCTTTACAAATTTTCTGTTGCTTATGACAATTTTACATTTTCTTTATATTGTCCTATAATTATAGATTATTGATGGTTTTTCAAATGTAGGGGTATTTCTCCGCTACAATCTCATCAAAGGACAACAGCCCTGAGATGAGATGTGTCTGAGAAGCATCCTTGAGTTTGAAAGACCATTGATAATCTGTTTATTGCTATTTGCCTACGACATTGTTGATGATTACATTGACAATGACCCATGCTCCTTTAGTTTCTGACGATAATTTTCTATCTCAAGCGAGTAGCATGATAATGATATGAAAAATTATCACAAAAAAAAGAAAAAATATGCAAAATAGCAATAACAAATTATATTACAAAAGTATATTAATATACAGCATTGTGATCTTACCAATAAAACAATGTACCTTTGATACATATTTTATGGTTACCAATAAAAACTGAACACCATTATAGAGCCAATAGTCCTGATACAAGCGTTAAACACCAAAAATCAATCAATCAATGTGTATCAATATAATAAACAACATAAATCTTACCAATGATGTTTTCTTGTTTTGATTCCAAATTTAACACAACATTCTAAACAAATCTCTCCTTCTGACCAAGCTGGTTCTTTAGATAACATATCTATAATCAAAAGCAAATATGACAAAATACTGAAATAAACTGTTATCACATAGATATGTCTCGCCTTTTTGTAATTTTGATAATGCAAATGTTGAAATTAAAATAGCAATACTTTAACGTGTAAGTTATGCAAATATTCAAAGTCGATGAACTATGACTGAAGGTACATGGCTAAACAATCTCCATGGAATGAGATGTGCCAATGCTAATACAACTGCATACCAAATACCATTGACTTATTATAAGTCGTTCCCTTTAAACAAACCTAAACACAAACATTAATTTGTAAACTATGTAAAAGTTTCAAAGTCAATGAACCATAATTAGGGAGTGGGGTTATATAATCTCCATGGAAATGATACTTGCAAATGCCAAAAAATTTGCATACCAAATATCATTGAATTAACATTAGCAGTTCATCTTAAACTGACCTAATCACAAAATAATACATGTAAACTAAGCAAAAGTTTCAAAGTAAATAGACCATGACTGAGGAGGCGGGCCAAATATTCTCCATGGAAATGAGATGTGCTAATGCTTATACAACTGAACACCAATTAACATTGGCCTAACACTAATGGTTCCCCTTGAACTGACCTAATCACAAACTAATACATGTTAACTTAGCAAAATTTTCAAAGTCTATAGACCATGACTAAGGGGGCGGAGCCAAATAATCTCCATGGAAATGAGATATGCCAATGCTTATACAACTGCATACCAAATATCATGGACCTACCACTAGTGGTTCCCCATAAATAGACCTAATCACAAACTAATACATGTAAACTATGAAAAGTTTCAAAGTCAATAGACCTTGACTGAGGGGCGGGGCCAAATAATCTCTATGGTAATGAGATGTGCCAATGCTAATACAACTGCATACCAAATATCATTGACCTACCACTAGTGGTTCACCATGAACTAGACCTAATCACAAACTAATACATTGTTGACGCCACCGACGTGGAAACAGTATACCTATGTCTCGCTTTTTGACTCCGTCAAGGCGAGACAATAAAAACCAGTATATAACAGAAATAACTTAAGTATACTGAAAATAATTATTATTATTCATGCACTACTTATTTTCCTAGATTTTTTTTTATATAGATGATCCAAGCACTTAAATTTGTTATTAAGTTATTATGAATTTTTATAAATTTTCGCCAATCATGCATGCCCAACAACATGTATTCTTCAGTATTGATGCCTTGTTGACCCAAGACAAGCATTTCAGTATCCAACAAAACACTAATTTTCTAGATGCGTGTATGCAGAATTTGTCAATTCCATAAAATCAATTGCAATAAAAATAAATGTAGTTTTCCACAATCCACCAAAATTAGTACCCATGAAAATTAATAAATCCAAAGTACACAAGTTTTGCCCAATTGAAATTAATTCTTCTGAAGCACAAATTCAGATAAATGCTTATAAAAAATATTTATATGTACACTTCATTTTTCACGAGAACTTACATATCAAAGTCATGCTTATAAGCTTTCACAAAAATATAAGACAATTGGTGGCCATCATTCCTGATTTTTCAAGGACAAAGAAAAAATAACTTTTATTTGAAAAATGTATTAAAAAAGTAATTAACTTATTATTGAAATGTGATAAAAAGTTTGTGTCTTTTGGTTTTACTGTGTTGTTGTTATGCTTTTTAACTGATGTTTTATCTCACATCTTCTTCCATTCATATACAACTTATCATTATCTGTACACTATAACAGGATATCACAAACATTTCAACCCATAAAAGATTTTAATACATCAAATGAGAACATGTCTGACACCACAATGAAAAGTTATTGATGTTTGATGTCAATAGGTTAAGTGTCACGAAATCTCAGGTCAAGTGTTGCTAAATCTCAGGGTAATTGTTCTCAATCCCGAAAACTTAATAGCAGCGTGACATTGTGAGAACAGAATTCATCAGGCTTACTTACAGTAGGACAACTAAGCGTAAAAGTTGTTGACAGGTAGGAAAAAAATAAACTAAAATTTGTTGCTAGAGTGGGTGACGCATATTCGCCGCAAAATTCGTTCATTTCCACCAACATCCGACCTACATTCGAATATTTTAAACTCTTTATGTAGGTTTCAGAAAGTTTACTATATGCAAAAAATGTTTGATAAAGGAATTCTCTTCAAAACATTGTTTAAATGTTTTAAAAATGAACGCAAACTCAAGAGGAAATCAAGTTGTTCTTGTACCATGGGGGACACATTTTCGCCGCAATGTATGATATGACCATCCTCATTATCCTGGTATATTATAAAAACAATTGTTTGCAATTACATGAATTAGCCTGAGAGATCATTCCTATACGATTTTTCTAACAAATATTTACTTTATGACTGCGCATGCGTGCCATATAAATCTTACATAATTGCCAAAATCGTTCAAAAACACCTGCATATTTCTTTATATGTGCAAAAAACATTGGAAATGGGGTAAAGAGGAATATCAACAGTTCGAACATTATAAACAGCGTTTAGCATCTATTTAGGCAAGTATTTGGTAAAGGCACACGAAATTTACAGAAAAAATTGCAAAAACGGCAAAAATGTGTTCATGGCGAATATGCGCCACCCACTCTACAATGTTTTGTTTTCTGTGTTTGAATATTGTTTAATATTACATGCTGGACAAGTTACGACTTGCAGGTGGTATTCAATGATATCAAAATGGACAAAGCCCTAAAATATTTAAATATAAAGATATCATAGTTATTATTAAAATCAGATTTCTCATTAAAGCTTCAAAACATTTGCAACTTACCTACAACTTTATAAGGATACAGAATTAAAGGTATGCATTTGATAATCTTTTTCTCCTTGCAAATTTTTAAGTGCAAAAGTTTTATGAAAATAAAAGGGATTTTTGACTTACCTAATAATTTAAAAAGTAATTGTTTAGTAGCTACAGGTGCATTGAATATATTTAATCCCTGTCTGTTCATTGTTCCTAACTTAGCTCCAGCTCTAACCAATGCTCTACATAGGTTACCATTCCCATTCACATATGCTAGTAATAAACCTGAAATAAATATTGAACATAATGTACATGGAAAAGCCAATACTATTTACCACCCATAAAAAATCAAAGAAACTCTATTTTCAAATAGGAAGATGACAATATTCTATCAATTTTAATCAGAAACATACAATGAAATGAAAAATAATTATAAATAAGATGTAAAAAAATGCCTTTCAATAACACAGATGTGAAAAAACAGTCTATTTACTTTGTGAACATTACTGCTTGCAAAATTGTTGTTTCTCTGAATGCATTTACAGTAGACTACGGCAAATTGGATACTTTAGATGTGAACAAAATATATCCCATTTCAATATCAACAGATTTTGTTGAGTCTACATAGGGTACAAGTGTACTTTAATACAATGAGTCTTAATACATGAAAGCAGAATTAATGTTGTTATTTGATATCCCGAGCTTGTCTATTGTTGGAAGACAACATGGTGACCAATATGATTATGACGGTGACCTTAAATAAAAATTGTGTTGTAAGGCTACTACTCTTTCGTCCAAACAGTTTTGAATTACCTGTGTTTGCCTCACTGTCAACAGCATCTATTGGATAATCAGGCATACTCTCTTTAAACAATTCAAAGATGGCAGCTGCATTATCTCTCCCATACTGACATAGTACATGGATAGGCATCTGTCCTCTGTGTCAAATAAAAATATCAGTATTAAAAATATGTTGGTGTAATTTTTTCTGTTTACCTTAGCTCAGTTCTCATTCAATAAATTTTCCCATTATAAACAGAGTTCATTAAATGCAAAAATCAATACAGTTGAAAAACGTAGGTCATAGCACCCGTGTCTTCCTGTACAGCAGGGAATTTTTGAGGAGGGTTCTATTTTGGCTAATTTTGCAATTAATATAAGTGGCAAATATGTCCCTTCATGTACTGGCTAATTGACAAAAAGAAAACATGAAAATAAAACTTTGGGAACAAGTTTGTTCCAAGATACTTTGAAATTTAAAATCCAGGAAAATTAACCATGGTACAGTATATAACCAAGTATAAGATACATACTTTGCATTAACAGCTTCAGCATTGATTTGTGATTCTGTTAACAAGACTCTTGTAGCTTGTAGATGACCATGTTGTACAGCTATGTGCAATGCTGAATATTTAAATAATTAAATGAGTCAAATTTTTTACAGCATTAGTACAAGAAAAAAATTGCAATGTTTTGTAAATAACGTTACTTATTGTATTTGAATCCAGATCATTACCTGTGCTCAAACACATAGGATTTATATTGGGACATACAGTTAATATTTTACAATATGCAGAAAAACCGGTAAATCAATGTTTAGTTTTGTGGTCTGTAAATCATCAATGAAAAGTCAGAAGAAACCTTTTTTCAAAGGTTTTTTGAATTTTGTACATGTGTTTTGAGTAATGAAAGTGGTTTCTCATTGAGTAGTGTTTGTTAACAAGAAAATTCTTTAAAACTGATACCACATGAAATTTTTTATTTAGATTTTAATACTGCGGTACAAATTTGTTGCATCCTAGGCATTTTTCTTGATTTACCTCAATCAGGAATGCTAATAGTCTAAAATCTGAAAGCCAAAGATATATAAATATTTTTGGACTTATATGACATAAAGGTCAATAAAGTATATTATTGTTCCTACCATTATTATTGTTTTCATCTAAGGCATCAAACTCTATCCTGTTGTCCAACAGTACAGAACATATACTGGCATGGTTGTCTGCTGCTGCTAAGTGCAGGCAGGTCATTCCTTGTTTGTTCCTGGCATTGACATCTGCTCCAGCTAATAGCTGTAATAATCAAATTATATTACAGTGAAATATTATGACCTGACAATTTTTACAAAGGCTGGTCATCAGAAAAATGAAAATACAAGAAGTCCAGCCCAGTATGTCTCAGAAAGGGTTGTTTTGGGTCATGATCTACTGATGCTCTGACTCTAATACTGTGGAATAATTTTTTTCATGGATTTTAATTTTCTTTGATAAAGGAAAACTTGAATGTTTGAGGATATCTTATTTAATGATTTTGCCAAAGTCTGCATACAAGTCATAGCAATTTTGTAATTTGTTAAACAGTTTATTTCGTGGTTCACCTGTACCCACTGAATCTATGGAAATTAGTACCCCACATATAATAATGAACCCACAGTGGTCAAACTTCAATATACAATGTAGTCTTTAGTAGTATAATTTGTTTTATGGGAACCTCTTTGGCTATGGATGTAGATTTATTTGCTGTTGTAAAAATGATAAATTTAGCACTGTTGCCTGAATATTAAACTTAATACATAAGCTAAAATTATTAAATTTGAAGTCACAATCATAACCAACAGGCAAAATTTCAGGAACCAAGAAACTGTTAAATTAATGTATTATTCAATAACCTTACTGACACTCTTAAGAGTCAAAATAGAAACAGTCACTTCAGTTAAACATCTTACAAAATTCCAGATTCAAACCAGTCTTACTAAGCTCCAGACAATAACCTCACATCAATGCACAGATGCTAAGCACTTCTTCAACATTTAATCTCTAAGGATCTTGTAAAATAAGTGGTATTAATTTCTTGTATATAACTTACCAAATTCCTGACAATAATCTCAGATCCATGCATGACAGCTAGGTGTAATGGCATTAGTTGTTTAGAGTCTTGTACAGGAGAATTAACATTAACATTAATACTGATGAGAAACAATACACTTTCTATGTCTGTCTTCTGTATGGCTATATGTAGGAAGTTTCTACCCCTGTTATCAACCTATCAAAAAATAATAGAGATTCTATCACTTAATCAAGTAAGATGTAATGTTTCTCCAATCTAGACTGTTGAATTTTGCTTGCAAAACATATGACTGGAGAAAAATAAATAACCTTACTGACACTCTTACATAGAGAGAAAATATTGAATCACACAACAGATTGATTGTTGATGTTTAACACCACTTTCAGCACTATTGGCTACATTGTGGCAGTCAGTTTTTATTGGTGGAGGAAGCCGGAGTATTCAGAGAGAACCAGTGACTTTGGGCAGGAACCTGACAATCATTGTCAATTAAGATTGGAGTTGGAGCACCTACCATGTGTGGGGTTCGAACTTACAACCTCAGTGATGACATGCTATAAATGATATTTGATTTACTACTTAGACCACTTGGTCACCGAGGCCCCTCATACAACAAAAGTAAAATCTATTTATAGAAAAAATTTTAAATGAAAGTTGGCAATTTTTTTATGTTTCCTGTCAAAAAAGTGTAATTTTTAAACTTATTTTCATATATGATAAATAAACATACCTGTTCAGCTGCAGTTGGTTCCCTGTTTAATATGGCCTGTGCTGCTTTGTTATTTTTAGTTGTCATGGCAGCAGCAAAGGGAGTGAATCCGTTTTTATCACGTACAGTCAGATCTAATGAAGGGTGGGCTAAAAGAAGGGAGATAATCACAGTATGCTGATTTTCTATGGCAACATGAACTGGGCACTTGGATTCAGCATCCTGTAAAATAAACATAACATATCAAAACAAAATAACATAACATATCTTACATAAATCTTTATACATGCCATGATTAATTTCAAGAAAACAACTTTTTTAATGTATAAATTTATTTCCTAAATGAGGGTCTGGATGGGGATAACAGAATAGAGAAAAATGGGCAAAAAAAATTAAGAATGGAGAATAATGGGGTAGTTTGAATATAAAGAATGGAGAATGATGGGCCAAAAATGTAAAGAATAGAGAAAAATGTTTAAAAAAATTCAAGAATGCAGAATTGAAGGACCCCATTAAGACCCTCTTAAATGTCCAGATTGTTTTTCCCAAAACCCATATACCGATTTCAACAGATGTGTGTTTAGTTAGTGCAATGTTCATCCAGTTCCATTTTTCACATTAATAATAAAAATTTGCATTATGCTCTCAATTTTGTAAACGGTGTAAGTGAACTCATCAAGTCTTCATATATTTATATGACCTTTAATAATTCATAATTTTGTGTTGAAAGATAACTTTCTGGCTCTTTGAAGCAGTAATGAATAAGTAAATCGATCGATAAAACATATTTCACCTTGACATTAACTTCAGCATCATGCTCTATCAAACACTGTACAACAGTCTCTAGTCCCCAACAACAGGCAAGGTGTAACGGTGAAGATAACTCTCTGAAATAAAATATGATGGATTTAAACACCATGTAAAGTTAAACACTTAATATAAGGTATTTAAACACCATGTAAAGTTAAACAATTAAGGTATTTAAACACCATGTAAAGTAAAACACTTAATAGAAGATATTTAAACACCATGTAAAGTTAAACAATTAAGGGATTTAAACACCATGAAAAGTAAAACACTTAAGGTATTCAAACACCATGTAAAGTTAAACACTTAATATAAGGTATTTAAACACCATGTAAAGTTAAACAATTAAGGGATTTAAACACCATGTAAAGTTAAACACTTAAGGTATTTAAACACCATGTAAAGTTAAACACTTAATATAAGGTATTTAAACACCATGTAAAGTTAAACAATTAAGGGATTTAAACACCATATAAAGTAAAACACTTAAGGTATTTAAACACCATGTAAAGTTAAACACTTAAGGTATTTAAACACCATGTAAAGTAAAACACTTAAGGTATTTAAACACCATGTAAAGTAAAAATCATAAGGTATTTAAACACCATGTAAAGTTAAACACTTAAGTTATTCAAACACCATGTAAAATTAAACAATTAAGGGATTTAAACACCATGTTAAGTAAAAATCATAAGGTATTTAAACACCATGTAAAGTTAAACACTTAAGGTATTTAAACACCATGTAAAATAAAACACCTAAGGTATTTAAACACCATGTAAAGATAAACAATTATGGAATTCATTAAATGACATTTACTTTAGTATCGTGTGCTTTCATAAATTCTTTTGCTTCTTAGACAATGGTAGTAATTCACTCTAATGTAAATCTAATGTAATCTTTACAAAAAGGTAATGTATGATTAAATTGAGAATAAACGGTAAAATTCCATTATTATTTTTATCATAATACTTCATACATAATAATTTCATATTAAATCATAACCAGGTTTTTTTTTTGTATATGAAATTGCAAATCAGTAAAGTAAACTTATAAAACAATCTCATGATACAGGCTACAATTGATTGTATTTGTAGGTAGGACTCAACGGTCATTTTTGTTATTTTTCAATACTTCCTGCTTGTATACCTTCAAAGTAATAACATTAATGGTTCCAATTTTACTGAACCAGATATACAATTTGACAATAAATGTTTTTAAGTGATGCTCGAGGCCAAAATATTTAAAAATCCAAAACCTAATACAAACGTGGAAGACCTGATCAAACCAAAAAAGAACATAAAGTATAGCCAAATCTGGACAAGGAATCAGAGCTTTGCAGGGAGATATATTCCTTAATTTAAGATAGTTTCATATGATATTTACTGTGGTTATCAGTCAATATCAAATAATACTGCTTAAGTCTACAATAGACATCATTTCTATCTTGCTGTACAATGCAAGGTCTTTAGCATCACTGGAGATCTGTGAGCCGAAACTGTGAAGATGAAGAACAGCAATTAAAGCATATTGGGGCTACATCCAGTATATCTTGTGAATGCTATCTCATGTACATCCCTTCCGTTCTCTCTTATACCAATTTAATAAACTTTTTATAAAATCTAAATTTCAGGCAATCAACATACTTAGCGTCTTCCTCCCCTTCACCATTTGGTCCTGGTTTTCTTGGACTATTTTTATCACAACCACTGCAAAAGCAAAACAAAAACAGAGTCATTCATTAAAAAAACACAACTTGAAAAAATTGGAATAAACAGTCATGGTTAAGGCAGACGTTATATGCATGCATTTTTTTAAAAACTGTTTTAACAAACAAACTATCTTCACAAAACTTTATAAAATTAAAAACATAAGGGCTATTCCATAAATGTAGGGGGGGGGGGGGGGGGGGGGGGGGGGGGGGGGGGTATGTTTGGATCTATTGGCCACAGAGAAAATAACATGTGGTGTCCAACCCTCCCATTTCCAACCCACCCCCCCCCACCCCCCCCCACTTGAATAGCCCTAATGATAAAATAAATGTACAATGTGTCAATGGGACACAGATGATGCCCCCACTTGCATATAATGTTATAAAGGGGCATAACTTGAGAACGGTAAAAGTGATGCTGACCAAATTCGAACTTGATCTGTGTTTTGTTGTAATAAGCATTGTGTATAATAACATAACATTGGTTGAGGCAAACTAAAGTTAGAGAAGGGAAACCAATTTAGCGACGTACATATGATACGGACAGACAAGGATAACACTTAATGACCCCTACGGTGAAGGCAGGGGCATAAAAACCCAAATGAATGAATGGTGTTTCCAGTCTTCATTTATAATCAACAAAATATCTACAAACAATATTATCTGGACTAACCTTTTGATCAGAAAACAGGCGACAGATTCATTATTCTCATCTAATGCTCTGTGTAATAATGTTTGTCTACAGCCACCGGGTCCTGCTGACCACAAGTCAAGGTCACATCCATGTTTTACCTGGAATGAGATTAAATAATGCCTGACTTCAAAAATAACATGTTCTTCTTGACAGTTCCAGATACTGGTATCTAAAGCTGTTAAATACTGATATCAGTGGTTCAAGCTGAAAAATGGAAGTACCTCCAACAGTGGAGACTATTACAGTGAGCACTATTACAGAGAACACTAATACAATGGACACCAAAAATGCATTTCAAATAAAGGTTAGTAATCTGAGCAGGTTTATTATCTCCAGTTATTTTGTGCTGGAAAAATAAAATGATCAGCATAACAAGATCTACAAATTAGTCAAACCTGATAGGAATTATCAGTGGACTCCTTATAGGATTTATGGACTTGAAGGATGGTTTTTTCACATTTCTGGAGATTTTGCTGAAAATTGTTCTCGTTACATTTTTGGAAATATTCTTATTACATTGTATCAATCTTGTGTGCAAATTTCAGGTGTGATTCAGGCTCCTTGGATCTCTGGTTTAATTTTGTGCATCTCATTGGTAACTGGTGCTAGAAATTAACTAGAGGCTCTCAAGAGCTTGTGTCGCTCACCTGTATTTACTGATGCTTTGGAAATCATGTAAAATAAGGTTAAAATCATAATTAATAGTATTAGATATTAGATATTATAATGATATCTAAGATAATAACAAAAAACTGCAAAATTTTTGTAAAATTACTAACTCTGGGTCAGCAGCCCAACAACGGGTCGTCGGATTTGTCTGAAAATTTCAGGGCAGATAAATCTAAATCTGATGAACATTTTTGCCACCTTGTCAGATTTGCTCTAAATGCTATAGTTTCAGAGATATAAACCAAAAACTGCATTTTACCCCTATGTTCTATTTTTAGCCATGAGGGCCATCTTGGTTGGTTGGCGGGGTCATCGGACAAATTTTTTTAAACTAGATACCCTAATAATGATTATGGCCAAGTATGGTTAAATTTGTATCAGTAGTTTCAGAGAAGAAGATTTTTGTAAAAGATTACAAAAATTTACGAAAAATTGTTAAAAATTGATTATTAAGGGCAATAACTCCTAAAGGGGTCGACTGACAATTTTGGTCTTGACAACTTATTTGTAGATCTTACTTTGCTGAACATTATTGCTGTTTACAGTTTATCTCTATCTATAATAATATTCAAGATAATAACCAAAAACTGCAAAATTTCCTTAAAATTACCAATTCAGGGGCAGCAACCCAACAACAGGTTGTCAGATTTGTCTGAAAATTGTCGGCAGATAGATCTTGACCTGATAATCAGTTTTACCCTATGTCAGATTTCCTCTAAATGCTTTGGTTTCAGAGATATAAGCCAAAATCTACATTTTACCCCTATGTTCTATTTTTAGCCATAGCGGCCATCTTGGTTGGTTGGAGGGGTCATCGGACACATTTTTTAAACAAGATACCCTAATGATGATTGTGGCCAAGTTTGGTTAAATTTGGCCCAGTGGTTTCAGAGGAGAAGATTTTTGTAAAAAGCTAACGACGATGGACGATGACAACGACGACGACGGACGACGGACGACGGACGCCAAGTGATGAGAAAAGCTCACTTGACCCTTCGGGTCAGGTGAGCTAAAAATAACTCTTTATAAACTTGGTGTGTCCCAAGTGCTTTTCTGGCTTACAGGTACCTTCATCAGGTATTCTCAAACCCAAAAGCCAAAGATTTATAAATTCCTTAATATATATGAGGGGCTATGTGAGCAAAAGTCATGTCAGTACCAAGGCACTGACTACTGAGCTCATGATTCCAACATTTTAACCCTACACCATATAAACTTACTAGTATCTGTGCTATATCATGTTGTCCTGAATCCAGGGCATTCCACAGTGGACAGTTATCTTCCTTGTCAGGAAGATTCATATTAGCTCCCCTTTTACACAGAATATCGACCACTACAGGTAGATGGCGCTTTATAGCATGCTGTAAGGGTATCTCTCCATCTGGTGTGCTGAATAAAGATTGGAAAATCAGAGTTATGTATTCTAAAACACTTTACTCTCTTTTATTTCATTTCCAAGCGATGGATATTATAAAGGGAAAGCTTTCTAATTCCATAATTGAAGTTACATCATGTTTAAGTCTTCACAGGAAACTATTTGAATTTTGTAATTTCCAAACCTTACAACTTCTGTTTTTGAAGTCAATAACATCTTTTTTCATCTGGCCGTAGTGTGGACTAACCATAGAGATATGGTGTTTGTTTTTTTTTTATCATTCCTTTGTTATTTTTCTAGTTTTAAACTTCCTGAACTTTTTTACACAAGTAATTGTTTGAGAATTTGAGGTTTTACCTGAAGAGTTATTAATGTTTTTCTGATTTGTCATAGCAAATAGTAAATACTAACAAAGAAATCTGCATATAAGTAAAAGGACAAAGCTACAAATATTTTATACTTTGATGCTAATAATGTAGTTTATAAAAAAATTCCTTACTTGTGATTGATTATAGCTTGCTTATATTTGCATCCAGTGGCATATTCATGGCATATTCAAAACCAAATCAAAATAATAATTAATACAATAGATAGGTTCTGAAAGGTAAGTTGACAGGTATTAAGAGCAGGATATTTGGACTAACACTGCAAAATTAGGGTATGTTGGAAAGGAGCAGAAACATTGTCTACCTATGAACCCTTCAGAGAATTGTTGCAAGGGTTCTTTAACATGCAGAAAGCATGGCAATAGCACTGCATGAGGCATACAGTATAATGTGCCCATGTCATCCAGCACAGCCAAATGGATACCCAACTTTAGAAAGGATTTTACTGTCAGGCGGGAGAAATCCAGGAATGACAATATCTTCATACCAAAGTCAACCTTTGGGGTTCCTCAATTTGTGAGTTGTTTAAATCTTAATGTTACATACATGTACTTAAAAAAATTAACAACTAATTGGGTTTTATGAAACCTAACAATAAAAACGTAAAAGTGACATTAGACAAAATCAATGACTGCTTTATACATATATTATTTAGAAACTTCATCTAATGTTTACTTACACTACACTAAGGTCTGCCTGGTGTTCTATTAAAAACAAAGCACTGGCTGTATCCTGTTTCTCTATAGCCTGGTGTAATAGCGTCAATCCATCTGAATTCTTCTCATTGATATTAGCTCCTGCTCCAAGCAATCTTGCTGCTTCAGAATGAAGGTTGCTCCATAGAGCCAGACCTAATACTGTCTGACCATCAGAATCCTTAAGATTGAAGTTGGGTAGTATCTTTATTCCATCTTCACTATGTGCTGCTTTAACTAAAAAGTAACAAAAAGTTTATGTCACTATTTAAAAGTCAGTTAAACATATTTCCTAAAAGTAACATACCATTATATATATTTCAATCAAATAACATACCATAAAATTGGCTAAAACCAAACATATTATCAACATCTAGCTAAGAAATCATGTATTGCTTTGGTATGTTACCTTTATGGATGTAAGTTATAATACCTTGATTTTGTATTATAGACATTTCAACTTTATTATAACAATATTTTTTATTTATGAACAAATTTTCCTATATTTATCAAAAAAATATTTTTAATTCATTTGTGTATCCATCCAATCCAGGACTTTTCTCATTTTTCAATATTTTAATTGCATCAGTCAACTCTATAAATGTTAATTCCACTATGATCCAAGTAATCAGCTCAAATCAGCTTGCAGTGGTGTAATCTTTTGCTTCATTGTGAAAGCCTCAGTGTGATTTTGAGATGAAGAAGAGGAATAAAAGGATTTTTCCTTTGCTTGTGTTTATCAAACATGTAAAAACTACATGTAATGAATTTAAACCACATTTCTTTCTTTTCCAACACAAAATGAACTGGGAAAGCATCACAACTAAATTTCTGTGTTGAGCTTAAAGTCATATCAGAAGGACTGATATACCCAATACTTCAAGAACACACTTAGAGGAAGTCAATATGTCTGAGATAAGAATCTTCATATTATTTGTTAGTGAATACTGTAAATTCAGAAATATTGACGTGCATTTATTTTTGCGATTTTTGAAGAATGAAAAAAAAGTGAGATTAGTTATTGCGATTTCAGGAAAAACTGTATACAGATATCAGAAAGCTAGTTTTTATTATTACAATACTCACCAAGTCCCATTAATAAATACCTCACAATAATTTCTGAATTTACAGTACTAAAAAGTTCTGTAGAGAGGACTGAAGATATACAACACTTACCTTTATGCTGTAGAAATATCTCTACAATATCACTATGTCTATGGACTAAAGCTAGATGGAGAGGTGTCTGTTGAGAAACAGGAGGCAGTTCTCCATCAAATGTTAATTGTTCTGTGGCTGAGTGGGATGGTTTTAATGTTTGAGAATTTGGGTTAGCTCCCTTGTCTAATAATATTTCTGTCAGTTTTAAGAGTCCCTTTTCACAAGCTAAGTGAAGGGCTGTCTCTCCCTGTAATGAAGAAATATGTATATCATATGACATACAACATTTCAGTTTCTAAACTTTTAAAAGTTCAATAAGCAAATGATAGAATTCCAAAAAAGGACAAACGAGTGTTCTTTTTTCACCATTTTCAGCCTACTGACCGTCCATGATCATTAACAGACCACAAAAAGCTTAAAATTACTGTGGATTCATTTTTATTTTTGGGGTTCCAATTTTCGTGGATTTGGGGATAAAGGTGGACCACAAATTTGAATGTTTAACACATTACAAGTTTTCTATAGGCTTGTATGCTGACTTTGGTAAATCCACAAAATCAAATATCCACTAAAACAATTATACAATTTTTTTATCATTCCACGAAAATTGGTACCAACAAAAATAAATGAATCCACAGTATATTTGTTTCTGTCATTTGCCTCAAGAGATATCAAATCTACTCTGTACTGATATGTTCATTTTCATATAATGCAATATTTTGATTCCTTTTAATACATCTAGTGTTGAAATGTTTGTCTTTTTTTAACTCAATAATTGAAGTATCCTTAACAATTTGATACTTTATATTAAATACATTTCAATCAAGGTATTTGCTATCTTGCTCAATAATCAAATCATGAGAAAATCATAATGAATGAAACAAAATGTTCATGGACTTTGTTAAAAGGTCATCTTTGTACCTTATTGTTTGTGAGATTCAACTTTGCACCATTCTTTGCTAGAAAAATTCCAGCTCTCTCATTTCCACATCTTGTGGCTAAATGCAACAAAACATCACCTGTAATTATGAAATTAAAATATCTATTTACAGATAATTTTGTAGCATAAATATTTACAAAAGGAAATTTTAAAATATTCAATGATTTTAAAATATAATCATAAAATGTAATATTAAATGTTGATGCATGACACTGCATTATAAGACAAATTTGAAATGCATATATATAAATGTTTACATCATCCATATTCAGCTATAGTTTTGTAAATCAAAAATTAAACTGTTTATCAATATCTAGATTTTAAATAACTATTTTGGCTTTATAGGGAACTGCTTATGTTCATAGACAAGAGAAACATAAATACTAGAAACCTTTAAAAACCTTTGGTTATCAAAATTGATTGATTGTTGTTTCCTAAATGTCCAGTGACAAATAGTTCATGCCTATACAGGACAAGAACTCAGAATATAGAGTCAAGTTCAGACATACATAAATTATGTTTTATGACGAATAATTTAATTAAATGTAGTCCCAATTTTATAAAAGCCATTAATCAAATATTTGATCTTTCTATTAAGGTTTGAATCTAAGTCCAAAATCTATATAAAAAAAAACACCTAAGGGAATGTAATGGTGTCTTTCATACTAACATTCAATATTATGAGCATTGTTCACAAATTGGATAGTTTTACAAAACCTTTCATTAGGTAGTGATGTGCTAAAAAGAGGTGCACATATATAGTTGACTGTACACACATTCCCCATACTTAGATGAAAAATTGTGACCTCAAAATTATGTTTTGGTAGCAGTAATTCTTTCCAAACTGACCGGTTTCAGGTTCAACAGCATCAGCAGAACTTCCTTTCTTCAACAACTGAGCTGCTATACTGCTCTCTCCATAGACTTCCTCCAAGTCCCCCTCTTTTTCTGCTACCTACAAACAGAAAACCATTATCAGGAGATCACTATTAAAGTCTACAAACTTTGATACAGAAAGACAAAGAAATTCTGTGAACCAACTTATATTAGCAAGCAATTTATTATCACAAGTAGAAAAATGATGCAAATAAAAATAGATCCAAATTTGTCAAACTTGGATATTCTCTTATATGAAAGCATAAAGAATGTTAAAAAACATTGCAAATACAAAGCTGAAAAGGGCTAAACACAGACAAAAGTATCAACAAAAATAAGTTGGTTTACAGTTAACTTAATTATCTCCCTTGTTGACAGAAGTACATCATAGTCAAATTGAATGAAATAGTTTTTACAATTTTTTTCTTTAAAAATATAAATTGCTGTTTTTTTATGTTGGTACTGTGGTTTCATAATTATTAATTCAGTACTAATTATCTTGGATTTTGTTGGTACAGGTACACTACAAATACAAGTGTTTAACAAAGTTAATATTTCTTATAGATTTGTATACAGATCTTGTACAAAATGCAGAAGCAAATATCTTTAAATAAAAAAATATTTCTTCAATCCATGAAAACTGGTACCCACCAATATAAATGAATCCAGAGTATATTTTAACAGATATATTTGTGAGGAATTGATAATTTCCATCCTCATACAAAAATAAAATGAATTGGTAAAATCTAAATTATATAGTAATACATATGTTACATCCATCATTCCTTTAATCCTGTCACCAATGTGTATGTATATTTTCCATATAAGCTTCATGTATGTGGTAATATTCTATCATGCATAATCATGCATCTATTCGGAAATGATATTTTTCATGCAACTTTTGCGTACTATTCAATAAAATCATTTAATGTGAAATTTATTCAACCAAAATGTATTTGATTGGTCAATATTCTGCAGAGAGAAAAAAATCTTAAGCAATAAACAAATGTTCTTGCAGCTGACATATCTATTCAAACTTATTTTAGATATTTCTACAAGAGTAGAAATTCTGAAATGTTTTGCAAGCCTAACTGACCATAAATGAATTATAAGAACAGAGACTATTTACAAATTAATAATAATTTGACAGACAATCGAATAAAGTTCTTACTATATGTAAAAAGAAAACTGAATGTTTAATATTGAAGAATGAAAATGAAGATAATTTTAGGTAACTTCTGTCAGATGCACATGTACACCTTACAAATATCGTTTACTTATAACCATGGTAACTAAGAAACTGATCAAGGCACAAAAATTCAATGTTAATTATGGAGCCCTGAAAATGAGGTCAATGCAAGGTGAACCCAGTCAAATGAATATTTACACCTGTCCTAATGATATTTTCATAGAAAAAATTGTCAACCTTATAAGTCATAGTAACTAAAAAACAGACCTTGGCATGCAGACTTATTGTTGATCATTGATTGATAATTGTGAGGTCAAGGTAAGATGAATATAATTCTAAAATGTCTAAATTTTTCTTCTTCTAAAATGTTAAGCCTTATACGAATAATAGTTTTATAGACTTTGGATGATTTAGAGCTTAACACTTTGTATAGACACATGTCAATTGTTGAAGACCATACATTAACCTCTGGTTGTGTTGTGGTTATTTGTGATGGTGGGTTATTATCTCACATTTTCAATGATTCTTTTTATTGCATGTTTTATTGAATTTGTGGTTTATTCAACGGGTCTATTTACTGTGATGTGACAAAGTTTGTAATATGAACCATCAATCAAATGTAAAACCTAAGAAAAATTTAGGTCTAACTTTAAATATGTTTGACACAATAGTTTCAGAAGAGTTTTTATACTTAACAGAGAGATAAATGGTAAGATGACAGACACCACAGCCCAAAAGGCCTCTCAGAGAAGGTAAGAAAAAAAAATATCAATTAAATGTCATTAAAAAAAAATCTATTAAATATAGATTGTTTTTATTTCTATATATTAAGATAGATAGATACAGCCGACTAACCTATCCAGGTAGTTTTGTGAGTTTTCTAAATAAAAGTTAGTAGTGTGTACACTCCTCTACAACCAGTGTGCAAATAAGGCACATCACAGAGTTTATATAAGGATGCGAAATATGCTTCAAGATACATTTATGAAAAAACTAAGAATAACAAAAAATGTATTCCATGAAACCCAAATAATTCCTCAATATTTTGTACATAAAAAGCGCAGATGTAACTTTTGATAAAAAAAAACTGCTTGATTTGACAATGTTGTCAGATGGAAAATCAATACACTATAAATAATTGTGGCCAAGTTTGTAAATTTTTTAAACAGCTTTGAAGCAAACCAAAAATATAAAGCTGCAATCACATTCAAAAATTCAAAAAAAAATATGAGCAAAAAAATATTAAGCATATTTAACATACCATATTGAAAGGGATAAAATATATATATTTGAGATCATATCATTACCATTTGTGAGCGATTTAACTGAACACTGTCCTGTGAAAATAAGTACTTAATATTTCAATAAAAAGCTAAAATAACTACAAAATTCCAATATAAATTCTACATCACCTATAAAAGTAATAGAAATGAAAGATAAAACTATTTGTGCTATGACAATCTTATATCACAGTAGACCTCTCTCATAAGATCATCCCTTCAGCAGAACATAATGTGGCTTGTAATCAAGGTGACTTCTGCTTAGAGGTCAAAGAAATACAGTTTATAGACAGCATAGAAGGTCTTATAAAAGAGGAATTACTGTACATATAAAACTTCTAGTTATAAATACAAAAACTTTGACAACAAGTAAATACTTTAAATCTGCACAAACCCTCTTCTACAAAACAAAAAAAAAATAACCATCAGTTCTACAACTTTAATTCACTTTTGTTGTATTTCTACAGTTTTTTATGCATAAAAAAAAATATATCATTTTTAATATTTTGAACATCACTGCAGAAAATAATTTAACACAAGATATGTCTACATTATAAATAAGTTTATGAGTCATACTTTAGTCTAAAATCAATCATTAATTGTGTACTCTACATAGAATCAAAACTAAAGACTTCCAGTCACTTGAAAACAACTAAAAAACATAAAATTGTAATAATACTATCAATTTCATAATGAAAATTCTGCCAACCTGTTGTATTGCTAGCCATAATGCTGTATGTCCCTCCAGATTCTTGAGTTCAAGGTTCGTTTTACTACTGTTAAGTAAGACCTGCATCACTGCCTCATTTTTACAGAACACTGAACAATGTAATGGTGTACTGGAAATACAAATGATATGAGATGTGGGGTGATAGGAAGACTGCTGCATCAACATTTTATAATTATCAACTTTAATAATTGTTTTATTTAGTTAAGAGTTCACAAAGATGTTGGATTGTTCACTGGGTATTCAGTGGGTAAGATTTGATTATTGATCCAAACAAAATTTCACTGGATAAACAATAATATATAACTAAAAATTCCAAAAACTTTATCAAACATTTTGTCCATTAAAAGTTGCATTTTACTAATTTAACAAGTTTTCAAGTGGTTTTGCTCTTTGCTAAAGATAGTACAGTGCCCTATAGCTGTTGTCCTTTGGCCACTTGTGAGTAGTTGTCTCAATGGCAATCATGCCACATCTCCTTATCTATATTGACTTTCACACTGCTGTCCTTCACGAAATTTTGTATTTTTTAATACAACTTGACACATAATAATTTTATTCATCTTCTAATAATTCGTAATTATCAGTTATGTTCTGTTTTTTATGCTCCATACCTGCCAGCAGTATCCTGTTGATTGGGATCACTCCCATGCTCCAACAGTTTCTGTGCTATCCTTGCCATCCCTTTTATGATATCTGGACTAGATACATCAGGGTTAAAAGATGCAACCATGTGTAGGGGTGTTTCTTTGTCTAAATGTGTTGTCATGTTAACATCTGCTTTGTTTGTGATCAAGAATTCTCCTGAAAACTCGTCTCCTAATGTGAAGAGAATAAAAATCTTTGTTTTTATTGGATATACAAATATCATTGAAACTATGAATATGCCTTTACTACCAAGCACAAGCTATTCTGACAGGTAATTGGCTTCTTTTCATAAACATTGTATGAATGAAGTGCTCATACAGCAGACACATTTGTTTTAATAATTTAATTTCTGTCCTTTTTTTTCCATTAAATTAAATAAGATACTCTAACTCAATATACCAATGTTGGATAAATATAAATAACACAATTTATGCTAAGGAACCTTTAATTAGGAACAACCAATTTTCCTTAAGGGTTTTGAGTGTGCTGGTGTGCAAATTTCTGGGTATAGAAAACATTCCTTTCTTTTCCTCTGGCAATTAAATTTCATTACCTTTTAAAGTATGCCAGATTTTTATATATATATATATATATATACTATCTGATTTATTCTTGTTTACATGCTGAACTCTACATTGGTTTGAAAAACAAGCTAAAAATTGCTGCATATTTTTTTTATAAAATGCCCCAAAAAAATTAGGTTCAAAATCACATTGTTATGAAATGTTCTTCTAAAATTGCATATTACCATACAAGATGTCTTAGTCAAATAATAAATAACAAAATTAAGCCAACCTTAAACAATTAACACCATCACTTATATTTTCTTGACTTTCCTTACCAAATTGTTAATCTATTTTCATGGCAAATTGAACAGCATTCTAGGCTTATTGTTTTATATTTGTGCGATATTTTTTCTATTTAGGTCTGAATTTATATTTCCATTCATAATTGGTACTTCAAAGTTCTATTTGATGCTAAAAAAAAATGTTTGTAAAATAAAAAATGTTAATGAAATACAAGTCATACCTCTTTTAATTGCTTTGTGTAACAGACATTTTCCAGAGTTATCCCTCCTGTTAACATCAACTCTGTGTTTAATCAGGGTCTGTGCAATGCTTTCTTGTCTAGAATGTAGGGCAAGGTCAAGAGGAAGATCACCTTTACCATCAACCTCGTTTAACTTGTTTGATAACTGAAAAAATATACAATTATATGTATTGGTATATCTATCAATATTAATTCAATTATTGCAAGGATGTGCTCTAAGAATTTTAACTTTACATATGCTGACTGAGACCATTACTCTAATAAACAAGATAGTCTATGAATGAATTTATACACTCATCTTGTGAATACATGACAACCAAGAGAAAACTTCACAATATATTGTTCATCATTTATAACAGCCAAAGTAAATATAAGTACATGATCACAGATTTCTCAAATTTCCTATGATCTTTCTATATGACGATTTTCATCCCATGCTAGAGTGATATTGGTTTTTCTTGGTCCTGAAAAAGAGAATGCATGACGTCTTAGGTCTACATCGTTGAAGTTGCCTATGAAAATAGCGATAAACAGAATATCAATGACTTTTCAAAAACAAAGATGTTTCTCAGCTACATCTCATCTCAAGGCTATCAACCTTTGATGAGTTTGTAGCCGAGAAATTTTCCTTTTGAAGAACCATCTATAGCCTATAAATAATGGTCGACAACATATCTGACATGTTCCAATCACTTCATATTTTAAGCAGTAACAGACATCTTTCTTAAATACAGCATATGGCTGATAACCTTTAATGTGTTAAAAAAGTATTTCAAAACAAACTTTCTGGTAAACAGGACAATAGAAAAATTTACTTGTTACCAGAACAGTACAAAACAAGAATATGTGTCCATTGCACACCATACCCCACTCGTACAAGTTCATTTCCATGTTCAGAGAACTATGAAATCTGGGTCAAAACCTTAATTTTGCATACATCTTAAAAAGGTACACATCATAATGAACATGCGTACTGATAATCAGGTCGATTTGACCTTACCAATAATCTGTTACGAATGGACAGAAAATGTAATGCCCCCTTCTATTGTAGGTGGGCATAATAAAACATAAAACTTTAAAATCAAATGTCACTGTACAACAAAGTTTACCTGAGAGTCAAATTCCATCAGATATAAGAAAACAACATCTTCCCTCTTGGCTCTTATGGCAGTGTGTAGAGGATATTCAGTCTTAGCCTTAAACATACTGTACAGTAATGGTGCCGGCATTGTCTCAAAATCTTCACTGGTAAAATCATTCTGAAAACATATGTCACCTTAATAAGTCATTTAATTAACTGTTAATTACAGGTAAGAATATAGTACACATACTATGAATAATTTATTTCCTACACTATGGGTATTAGCACTATCGGTAAATATTCTAAAAGGTAATAATAACCAATACTCAAGCAATAACCCTTTTCTGTACAGCAATAAATTTATGAAGATAAAAGCACCATATTTACCTATGGAAAGCATCCTTTTCAGGTGATGTTGCACTTGCTCCTTTCTAAATTGTGTAAATTACACTGCTAAACAGTAATTACATAATTGTTTCTAATGAATAGGGCATTATTGTGATATTAGACTGTCCAACATATATAATCAGAACTATGCTCCATAAAAAGATCTTCTTTCAAAATGGAAGCTTTGAATTAGGTCAACCTTCCATTAGATAATTAGCAGAACATCCAACACATTATACCTACCCAATGGTTAGATATCAGTTCAGAACAATGTTGCTTCAGTAGTTCGGCAGATATTTCTTCAGCTGTCTGATAAAATCTGATACAATTCTTCATATTCACAAAGGACATCAATCCATTCTCGCATCTAATGAAATAGAATGAATATCTTAAATAAGAGTGCACATGCTGAAATGTCTCGTCTGCTTTACTGACCATTGATTTTATATTGAAAGTCTTAAGATAAAGGTTTTACTATGAGTATCACATAAACTTAACATTTCTAAATATCCATGACAATGAGGTCAAGGTCAGAAAAATCCTGCCAGACAGACATGTGTACACCTGACAATTATTCCAAACACTAAATATAGTTGACCTATAACTTCTGGTAATTGAAAAACAGACAAAAAAACAAAAACTTAACAATGACTAATGAACCATGAAAATGAGGTCAAGGTGGGATGATACCTGCTAAATAGACATGTTCACCTTACAATCATTCTATACACCAAACAATGTTGACCTATTGCTTAAAGTCCTTGAAATACAGAACAAAACTTCAAAACTTAACATTGACCAATGGACCATGAAAATGAGGTCAAGGTCACATGAAACCTGCCAGACTGTCATGTACCCCTTACAATCATTCCATACACCAAATATAGTTGACCTACTGCTTATAGTATCTGAGAAACAGACCTAATCATGTATCTTTAACCTTAATCACTGATCCATGAAATGAGGTTGAGGTCAGGTAAACTCTGTCTGACAGACAGAGTTGACGTTGCAAGGAACCATATATATACCAAATATAGTTATCCTATTACTCATAATAAGTGAGAAATTCACTTGACAAAAAAACTCTTAATTTTTTTTTCAAGCAGTTGCTGAATCATGAAAATGAGGTCAAGGAAAATGGACATATGACAGACAGAAACTTTGTAACATAAGGTATCTGCATACAAGGTATGAAGCATCCAGGTCTTCTACCTATACCTTCTGAAATATAAAGCTTTATACAAATAGTTTACTGTGTGTAGTTGTTCTGAACACCATTTCAAATCTTCAAATATAATGGTCATAGCAAAATCATCAAATATCTTATTTTCTACTTAATTATTTTATTTAAAGGCAAAATTCAAAAAAAACATTCTAATATACATGGAAGTTTTACTTGACCTGTTTGTTACAGTGCCTAACAATCATTTCAAATTTTCAAGGATGTGTTAAGGCAAACTAACGATATTGAATGAAACTCTCAAATTTGCTTAAATTCTACATATTCCAATCAACATAACTTAGGAATGGCAAAAGCTTAAAATCATGTTTCCTTAAAAACCTTCAATAATAAACATGGCAAATTTCCAACTATAATACCACTAAACCAAAATGCTAGAAAAGTAGTCTGATGAGGTACATTTACGTGTTTTGTTTGTAATTGTGTCGTTTATGAGAGGGTAATAACTGTGTCAACAACTGCAGTCTGGTAGTGGTACATGTCCTGGTTATTAATAAAAAGTTACATTATGCACTATATCTACTATATTCCAACAAGTCTGTATATAACTTTTGAAAATTTTCTGATTTAAAACATGTTGTTATTTTTTTTCTTTATAAAAATTACAAGCTGCCTCAAATTTTACAACACTTTCATTTTTGGTGAATTCTTTTTGGAGAAAAAAAAAAGAAAATTCCTAAATGAAATGCTACTGATTCATGAAATAGTATTTAAAAATTTTCTTTCAATGATGATTTCAAAAGAAACATGCATTTGAATGAATGTTTTATCCCACTGAAATTAAAAGTGGTTGCATATATTTTTTTTCGTTACTGAGCATAAATTCACATGCTGTCTTGTTTGAAATCTTGCATGTGAATGTTAGCATATCATATTACATTTTAATAGATGTCATTTTTAACATGATACTTGTAAAACATGGCCCTATATTGATATAAAAGAACAACAGCATCACATGACCTGTATCAGAATCTTACTGCCTAAATTACAACAAACATTTTTGAAGAACATGAAGTTTGTATGTAATATTCTCATACTTATTGCTATGATGCCAATCAGCAGTGTACTCGCTTCTTGCAACAAAAGTAAGTTAATTAACGTTATACACTGAATTCTTTGAACAGCACACATATTTTATTCTTTTCTTTAATGTCAATTACCAAACAATTCACACTATCAATTGACAAGGTTCTTGTGCTTACAAATATTTTTTTCTAATGATGTTATAATACATAAATAGCATAATATATATAGGAATTATCAAAAATATTGGACAGTACAAGACAACATCAACCATCAACGCCCAACTCCTGTAATTAATAGACATAAAAAACAAAGACAAACACATGTTATATGATATTGTTTTACTTAATATATAGCTACACATGACTTTCCATAGATTTTATAAAGACTTCACTTTACTAAATATATAAACATCCCTTTCACATCTTATTTATTTTAAATAGATCATTATTATTAATTATATACAAGTATGGCCTTCATCAAAAGTTAATATACAAAATTATCAATTTTTGAGGAAAGGTTCAATTATTATTTGTGTACAAATCAAGAAGCTCAAAAGGTTATTCACCGACCAGTGAATAATAGGGTTATTCATTGCTGGGTGTATATTTTAAGGGTTATTCCGTCCATCCTTGCATGTAAATGAAATTTAACTGAATAATTCCATGTCACATGATAACGTATTACCCAGTAGAATTATTCATAAAATACTTAAAGCCATAACTGTATTATTCTACTGAACTAAATACAAAGATATAATTATTGTTTATAAATCTTGAGGAGACCGCCACATTATCCAGATTGCAACAAACGATATGGGTGTCACTAGCTAATTGTTAATTTTACATGCAAATGTGCACCAATTTTAAATGAGTTATTTTTGCTATGCTTATATTCCCAAACAGTAATTTAGCCTACATGCAATTTCCTTTGAAGGAATAACAACATACATCATTATCTTAATTATTTATTAGTGGTTACTATAGCAAAGTATAATAATTAAATTCATTTAAATGAACCAGTTTTAAGATCTTGATTGTTTTTACAAAGAGATATTAAGTGTTTGATGAAATGTGTTAATAATTTGATCTTATTCGACTTTAGTAAGTGATGTCCAAATTCACTAAAATTGTGAGAGGCTTACAAATTCAATAAAATTGTGTGAGGCTTACAAATTCACTAAAATTGAGTGAGGCCTACAAATTGACTTAAATTGTGTGAGGCTTACAAGTTGACTCAAATTGTGCAAGGCTGACAAAAACCTTTACTTTTACAGAAAATGGACTTTCTGAAGATTTAATGGATATGATGTGCAAAATCCGAAAACCAAGGATTAATAATGGCAAGTTGCATAAATCATGTTTGCTTCAATTTAAGCAGTTAGCTTATGGTTAATTTATCATATAAAATAAATAACCTTATTAATAAGACTTGCTGCATTCATTTTCTTTCTCCATTTAGGGGAGAAAATTTAATTTCATAAACATATTTTAAATTCAACCAATTTTACTAAAATAAACCTAAATTATTAAAGGGATTTACATATATTAGTGGAAGTGAGTACTCCTGAAACTAAACTTTGTAGCTCCTTGTATAGTTATAAAACATCTCAAAATACTGATGGTAGTATCAAATTTGGCCAGCATCATTTCTAGATTGGGAGAGGAAAGTATTAGATTAATTACTTTTAATGAGTTTAGGATTGCTAATGAGACAACTAAACTTGCTACTACTGTTCCTTACATCCATGTCAAGACATTTGGACTTAGGTTGATAGTTATCTTATTGTCAATCATACCACATTTGCTAATTTTTTATTTACAGTATTTTCTTCCTATTAAATAACATCTAACTAGCACCAATTTTTCTGGCTCAATTGATTTTTTTTACTTCAAAATATTTTCTTTATTTTTAGAAGACCATGATGCATTTACAGCCTCACTTACTAAAAGTACAAACTTAGCAGCAAATGAAGTAATCAAATTTGACAAGGTCTGGTTAAACACTGGAAAAATTTATGATTCTTTAACTGGTGTATTTACTGTGAAAAAGACGGGCTTATATCTTGTATCAAGTTCAGTAATGGCCAGTGGTGGAAAATACCTGCATCATATATGGAAGAATAATGAGAGCACTGTTGGTGCATATGGAATAAAGTACTCCCAAGGTTCTTTGAATGCTGTAATGGAACTGAAGAGGGGAGATAAGTTAACAATCCGCCATGATGGTCATGCTGGCACTGAGGGATTGTATGGTGTACACTGGTCCATGTTTTCTGCTTACATTATTTCTAAATAAAGTTTACTGAATTATATCTGATTTAGTTTCTATATGCCTTTATTATAGACATAACTGTATCCCTGTTTTGTTATTACATGTACAATTCTTATGTACAGGTACAATAATTGAGCTATTTTTGTCAAAAAAACAGTCAGGTAATACAAATTTACCATTATCTGATAAGATATTATTGCCAGATAATAAATGGAAGGTTGGAAACATACAAAGCCACTCTAATCCCACCACAATATAAACATAAGGAGATGTGGTATGATTGCCAATGAGACAACTATCCATTAAAAGGTTGGTTTGAAGTCAAAAATATGTTTTTTCTGTCCATTTAATAATTTGGAGTTAATCATATTTGAGAGCTTGTAAGCTGTTAGAATCCTTTGTTGATTTCAAGATGACCATTTTTGTTAATCTTTTATTTGTGCATGGTTGTGTCATTAACATTGTCCTACATCTCTTTTCATTCAAGCTTATCATAATATAGTTTAAAATGTTTCATGTAAATATCTTTTTAAAATAAAAATGCTATATTTGCCAATATTTTTACTGGTCTTCCATTAAAAATATATCTAAAAAGTAGTGCATTTCTGACTTAAAAACATTGCATCTTGACTGATATTGCATTCTTTACTTTCTCCTTAAAGTTAAGTAAGCACTAGAGAGGTTCTCTGAAAAACAGTTTATGTATGCAATCAAGTGAGACTTATTCAAGATGGCCAAAATAGGCATTGCATCCTCACAGAAGGCATCAAAGCTGCAAGAATTGGATGAAATATGTGGTACTATATTACAAAAAAATTATTGCACTAATATTGAAGAATGTTGTTCCTTGCAGTATTCACAAGCTTGTGCAATATGACATATACTGCACAGGACAATATTCCTCAACAGTAGTGCAATAACCCTATAATATAAAAGCAAACGTTTCTGAGAATGCAACCATAAAATATCTAATACTCAGTATCTTTGAGAAAGCAACCATAAAATATGTGACACTCATTACCTTTCTTGAAGCACCTTAAGCTTAAACCTGGTTGCCACCCTCAGTAATTCTAATAGGAAGACATCATCTGTTTTAATATCAATTTCATCTGTATATACCCACTTCATCAATGCATTCGCTACCTCATACTTGATATCTGAAATGTTGTTTTTTTTAGTATTGCTAGTCACAATTTAAAGAGTTTAAACAAAATGTATATTCCTGTTATTTAAATACTGAACAATTGAAATGGACAATTGTTGATGAATGGTTACAAGTAAAGGTAGTTTATTTTTACAACAACAACCAAAAAATTTTCAAAGGTACAACAACTTAAATATATTTAATCATGTTAATTACTTACTAAAAGTGTTGTTGTTTAATTTTCAATTATTATAATTTTGACTTTCATAAATTGGAATATTTTGTCTGCAGTTGTAATTTGATTTATTTGGTGCATAAAATGATCATAAGAGTGCCAATATCAAACATGCAAAAAAACATTCATCAAAAGATAAATGCAAGATTTTTGAAAATCATAAGTAATAAACTGCTTTGCTGAGCGCAGATGGATACGACTGCAGAGGTCCAACCCTGAACAGTTAAGACAAAAATGGACACAATATTCAAGCTTGATACAGGTCTGAATTTGGATTGTAACTAAATATTTGACACATTATAGGTTTCTGACACAGAATAAATGTAGTCAAAGAACTTGAAATTGGTTGTATGATTTGAATTTATATTCAATTGAAGATTTCTTGCTGTTGTGCAATACACTGTGCTGTTGCACAATACTTAGTAAATCTGTTTTCAGACTATATACAAAGAATTAGCAAAATAAATTGTGACCCCCAATTTTTTTCTTTAGAAAATTGACAATTTCTTAAAATCTTGAGGGAAAAAAAATTGAACCCCCCACAAATTTTTTTTTTGACCCCCAAAAAAAAAAAATATTTGAAGAGAATTTTCTTTTGAGGAAAAAAAATTGCCTCCCCCCCAAATAAATAAATTTTACCCCCCCCTCCCTCCTCCTTTCCAAAAAAAATAATTTTGAAGAAATTTCCTTTTTGTAAAATCAGGTACAAATTAAGAGATACAAGTTATTGTCTGAAAACTAGAATGTTTTAGACCCTTTTTGACCCCTATTTCCTGAACGGATTGGGCAATTACACCCCAAAATGAATCCCAACCTTCTACTTGTGGTATTGAACCTTGTGGTACAATTTCAGAGCAATCAAAATACTTATACACAAGTTATTGTCCTGAAACTGAAAAAAATGCTTGTTTATAGTAATATCTAAAAATAAAATTTCTTCATCAACATTTAATAGTCACTTCTAAAAATAAATTGACAGCTAGGACTTTGCAACCATAAAAACCCATTTAAATACATCATAAAAGTATTAAAAATAGAAAATGACATCATAATCATGGCTAAAATTTAAAAAATCTTCATCAGGAACATTTAATAGTAATATTTAAAAACAAAATTCCTTCATCAGCATTTAATAGTAACTTCTAAAAATAAATTGACAGCTAGGACTTTGCAACCATAAAAACCCATTTAAAAACATCATAAAAGTATTAAATAGAAAATGACATCATAATCATGGCTAAAATTAAAAAACATTCATCAGCAACATTTTAAAGTAATATCTAAAAATAAAATTCCTTCATCAGCATTTAAGAGTAACTTCTTAAAATAAATTGACAGCTAATCACCTCAAGAGAATACAACATTTCTTTATAACAAAACCATTGTAAGGGAGGTAACTCTAATGCCAAAAAAACCCAAACAAAGAATAACCAATTCTGAGTATAAAAATTTATTACCACTGAACCCTTTGATATACACTATTATAATATTATATGTATTTAAATCACAGTATTTGATGTTTCTAGAAACAGCTAAAAAATATTTCATACTAGAACTAGCAAACAAATAGCAAAAAGTACCAACATAAAGAAACAAAGCTAAAGTAATTGTCCATTAACCAGGAAACCCTCGTTTTTCCCCTTCTCCCTAAACAGATTGAGCCATAACCCCCCAAAGCCAATCCTAATCATCCCTTTGTGGTATGGAAACTTGTGGTACAATTTCAGACAATTCCATACACTGTTCCACAAGTTATTGTCTGGAAACTAGAAAAATGCTTATTTGGGCCCCTTTTCAATCCCTAATTCATAAACCGTAGGGACCATAACCCCCAAAATCAATCCCAACCTTCCTTTTGTGGTTTCAAACCTTGTGTTTAAATTTCATATCTTTATATTTACTTATACTAAAGTTATTGTCCGGAAACCAAATGTCTTTGGACGACGCTGACGACGACAACGTGATACCAATATATGAGTGCAAAAATTTGGCGGCTGTATAAAAAAATAATTCTACTTATAATGCATAATTACATATCATTAGCTGGAATCATATAATATTGCTTTGCCTCCCTACCTGTTAAATCCAGTTCTTTCACAGAAGATAGATCAGGCAGTCCCCAGTAGTCACTCCTAGCTGCTAGGACAAACCTGTGACCATATATCTGTTGTGAACCTTGCAAGTGAATGGTTATGTCACTGTAACAAAGATTAATACTTTGTATGCTGTGAATAAAACTTGTCATTACATATGTTAGAGTGAACAGTTAGACTCAGGATTGACATTAAGTCTCTAATTGACATCCACTCCTCAAATCGACGTCAAATGTAATGTCATGTTCTCAAATCAGTGTCCATTATTTTTACCCTCTAATCAACATCTAATGTGACGTCATGTATTACCATGTCCAATATGATTTAATCATCTATTCTGAGTTTTATCTTTGTTCACATTATCAGTATCGTTTTGTCTTTGTGTAAAATGTGTAAAGCTGCTTAAAGAAACTAATTGTTTTCATATATCTTTATACCTTACAAATATCTTGTTCCTTTCATATAAAAAATGACATGTGGATACATGTATAAGACAATAAGACAACAACACAATCACAAAGATAACCGAAAGATATCTAGGGGCAGTATACAGTCTCAAACACTAGACAGAATAAAGAAGTACAGTCAGTTGTTGAATTATTATCAAAAAGTATTATCATTTGGACTCTGCAAGATTTAAAATCTTATATTTTGTAGCAACTTTTTTTTTTTTAAGTTCAACCAACAATTTGCATTTGGGAAATGTCTGTATCAAATCAGGAATATGACAGTTGTTTTCATTAAATAGGATTAATACGTCATTGCGGCCAGTCTGTAAAATGGAAATAGATTTAGTAGAAGACATTGAGTTGAGAACCTTAAAAAGACACCTATTAGAGGGGCATATAATTGTCAGTCAATTTGGAATCTTATTTCATTATGATGTCATATTTAGGAACGGACATGGATTAGAGACAGGACATTGATCTGAGTCCTATACATATCTATACTACTAAAATAAGGAGGTCCAATTTGTTAGCCGGCATGACGGGAAACACGACGAATTTTAAGAATTCAACTTTATATATTAATAATATAGGACAATGGTGTTGATTAAAAATTACACCATTCCAGGCCCTTTTGTTTTCCACATAATTAATATTACCAATAATTAACAAGTTCCGGATCGAATGCGATACCGTTACCAATAATATATGTCACACATGTAGTTTCCGGTTGTATGTTCTGTATCTTCCTTCTTTAATAGGAACACCATCATGGGTTGTGGTGTTAAGGAGGACATTAAACACACTGTACTGGTATGGATTTAATGTGAGCATTTGCCTACCCTACCCAGTTTCCTAGCCTGACCGTGACGGGTCTTACTACCAGAAAGTTAACCTCAACAAGCATTCTGTGAGTATTGCCTGGCAATACATAGTCCCCTACCAGTTAAAAATTCATTGTACTGAAACAAAATGCTAACTTGATCTATAACTTGTCATGGTGTAAACTATTTAACAAATATCAAGTCAATATCTTCAAGCATGACGAAAAAAAATGTGGAAAATGGATTACATGAGTGAATTTTCTAAGTCCAAGGACCATAACTCCGCACAAAATCATCAGACAGGAACAAAATTCGAACTTGATCTGTAACTTGTCATGATAAAACTATTTATTACATTGGTTGCAATGAATTACATTGATTTCCCAGTGAAATAAAAACCAATAATTTCTCATGTGAAATAAACGTGGTTATTTCACTCCTCTGACGTCATACAACAAAAGGCGTTGTCAAGACGTCGATAACGTCGGATCAAAACAAATTGTGAATGCGTAGAAAAAGATATAGTTCCTTACGTTTTCTACTTTAATTTCATAAAAAAGCCATTTGCCAATATAATAAAAAGAACTAATCAAAGAATTCAAATATCGAAAAATATTCAACTCGTAACCGAACAACACGGATAATTAACTCATACGCTATGCGCATTCGTGAATTAATGTGTTGTTCGGTCACTGGTTGAATATTTTTCTCTATTTGAATTCTTCGATTAGTTATTCTATAAATACCAATTATTAATTCGATATCTTCAAGCATGACAAAAAAAAGTGAGGAAAACTGATTATTTGAGTGAATTTTCTAAGTCCAAGGACCATAACTCTGCACAAAATCATTAGACCAGACGAAAATTCGAACTTGATCTGTAACTTGTCATGATAAAACTATATACCAATCATCAAATCAATATCTTCAAGCATGACAAAAAAAAGTGCAGAAACTGATTATTTGAGTGAATTTTCTAAGTTCAAGGACCATAACTCTGCACAAAATCGTCAGACCGGAACAAAATTCGAACTTGATCTGTAACTTGTCATGATAAAAAAATACACTAAATATCAAATCAATATCTTCAAGCACGAAGAAAAAAAATGTGGAAAACTGATTTGCCGGACTGACGGATGGACAGACCGACAGACGGACGGAGTGTAAACCTAAAGTCCACTTCGACTTCGTCGGTAGGGGACTAATAAGTACAATGCAAAAAACATGATAAAACATATGAACACATTCATCTCATTCGCTCATCCTCAAAATATAAAAAATGCAAAATATATAATTATTTACAGAATAAGGGATAGGGTTGTAGTAAGAAAACCAGAACGGGTTCAAAAAGAAAGATTTTGAAAGCAGAGAAAACTGTGCACCTTATAATCAGCATGACTTTATCAGATGACAATACGAATACTACAAATCGAGGCTAAAAAGAAGGCATAGGTACTATAATTCAGTCAAGGACCCTCGATGTCGTAGGTGTGTTCTTGTATTACAGAAAAAACAGTGGTTGTCATTGATGTGGTCCATCATAATTGGTTTTTTTTCTTCATTAGTTCAAATTTTTATATAATTATTAGCTTTAATCAGGCTGTTGGTTTTTCTGATTCTAATTGAGTTGCATTTATATTTAGTAATCATTCTGCAGGCCTTTTATAGCTTACTATACAATATGGCTTTTGCTCATGGTTCAGGTCTTTGACCTATAGATGTTTAAATCCTTGTCCTTTGGTCTTTGGTGGATAGTTAACATCTTACAACATATTTTTATGTCATGACCATTTCTCCAAAAAATATAAATACATAACTGTTCTAAGTTCAGGTGGGTGCAACCAGATATACAATGTAGATTATGTAGAAAAAGATTTTATTAGTTATTATGGTGGTTATCTCCCCTGCTAGCACAGTTATACTTTTGCATTTCATATTTATGTCTCATGCTTCCAAAAATTAATTTTGCGAAAATAGCAAAGATGGAAATTCAAATATTTGGTTTAATTACAAAAAAAATAAAAGAAGAATGTGCCTGAGGACACGAATGCCCCCGCTCAAGCTTACCTAATATGTGAAAATACTTTTGGGACAGACGGAAGAACGAACGGAAAGACGGATGGATGGAAGGACGGAGGTCAAGGGTAATACTTAATGCCCCCTTTGCCTAGCAGTGGGGCATAAAAATATACTAAGGATACCTACATTTTTGTACTATAATACTTATGGTAAAATTTAAAATTAAATCTTTCTGATATCTGAAACCCTAACATGCCTAAGGGATATCAATTACAAATTTATGATTGCATACCTGTAGAGTTCTTTATTGAACAGTTCAGCAACTGTTTTCAATAGTCTAGCAACAAAATTGTCATCTGATCCTGACTGACCAGAACTAGCAATAGCAATCTGGTATTTCTTCTCTACCTCAGCCAAACGATTTTGTAACTTTACATATTCCTCTCGCAGTAAACTCAGATGGTTCTGTAGTTTAACTACCTCTGCTACAAAAAAATTAAACATTTTAGCATTATCAATACAGAAATAGTCATTACAATCATTCCTGATGTTTCTCACATTATTTCCAATTAAATCTGGTTAACAGCACCTACATGTACATGTAATAAAATATTTAATCAAATTGAATGTATGACCATTAAGCTGGCTGCAATACAAATCCAGGATCAGTCTTAAATAATTGTACGTGTATGTCATCATGGTTATCAGTGCTCAAACTTTTAAATAACAATGACAATATCCTTATTTTTTTCAACCATAACTATATTTGAAAATACCTCTATAGCAATAAAAGAACTCTTTAAAACTTTTTATAAATATCTAAGAGAAATGAAGGCTTCAGAGCAAATGCAATAATTTCCATTCAAATTAATATTTCCAAGGGGCATAACTCTTTAAAAATATTTGATCATCACTTGGAAAGTGTCAAACAGTGATAAACATTGCTGATATAAACCTATTATATAACTTTCATAAAAATCTGGCAAGCTTTGTACACATGAGAGCGCTAACAATGCAATTTTCCATATAATCAATATTTGTAATATTTCCAAGGGGCATGACTCTTTTAAAAATAATTGAACGGCACCGATTTTCGAACTCATCCAAGACATTGCTAATATAAACCTATGATATAAGTTTCATAAAAATCTGGCAAGAATTGTACATGTGAGAGTGCTAACAAGACCTGACAGACAGATGGAATGACAGACGCTATTTCAATGTCCCCTGCAACACATTGCGCGGGGGACAATAAAAAGGTTTAATTCAATTTATCAAAATGATTCACCATCAAAGCTGTTAACATGTAAAATAAGTGGATAAAACATGTTCTTATTGAAAGATAACACTATGTTGAACGACAGTTTATATTGTAAAGAACTGAATCCAGATTATTATAAAGTTTTTACGAAAAAAATGGGAGGAAATTTTCTTAATTCTTTCAATTTTTCTCCATTTTATGAAGTCATGTTGTCCATTAATATTGAATATCTAAGAATTGTTAGTACATGATTCATAAAACATAACTAAAATTAGATATCCTCATCATTTATTCAAAACAGTATGGTCAGTCTTACAATGAGATTACCTGTTATTATCTACAATTATCTGTTTATCAGATCATCAACAATTATCACATGTAATCAAACCAAATTAGTAGAAATTATTGGATATGCTTTAAAACATTTGACATAATTGACAGGTCAATAGAATTTTGGATATTACTATTATTAGGGCAACTCAAAGGGAAAGAGCACAAATTTGTAGTTTTTTTTTTACAAAAGGGCACAACCTGGAGATGTATTGCCCCCTATTCAACTTATGTCGAGTCCACGTATAGAAACATATAGTGATGCATATCTGTGGTATCCGACCTGTACTGCTGTAGGTGAATATAAGGGAGTGGAAGTTTTGTTGTAATTTTTCAATACACTGAATGTAGGCAATACAATAACCCCATTTGTGAGAAAATTATTTCTATCTATCGAAACTAGCATGATTTAGCAATTCAATTTTCTAAAAATCGGTAGAATTTTGGCAATTAATTAACTTTTGATTAAAAATAAAATTTATGCACCTTCTGCCATTTTGTCCAAAAGATCATGTGACCTAAGCACGCCTCTTATATTTTCGATATCTTCAGACATAAGCTCCAAATATTTCGAACGCTAAGAGATATAACTAAATTAATAGCCTTGAATTTCCGACCTCGATCATTTTCCAGTACAACCGTAACGGTGTCTATTGTGTATGTTTCTTTATTTTTTTCGTGTTAATCAATATGTTAAAAAGTCAGTTTCTTTTCTTAATTCACGAATCTTTGGTCATTTGACTGGACCGGCGTTATATCTATTTTCAGGCTATCACGGAAAGATTTATTTCATTATCAACTGATAAACATTTTATATGCAATAGTGTAAAGTATTATCAACTGATAAACATTTTATATGCAATAGTATAAAGTAACAAAGCAACCGGCAAACAATGATGCAGTGGTGTGACATAAATCACTACACGGGAGTTCTCAAGAATGAAATTATAAATTCGTCTACATTCAAGGCAGTACCCAGTATGCTCCACAGAGTGTCAAATGTTAAATAGTCACGAGAGTCTGGATGGGGTTTACAGAATCATTAATTGGATGCAAAAGAATAAAGGATAACTTTGAAAAATAAAAGAATTCGGTAATACAATATTGATTACAGAAATTAATGATGTCCAGAATAAAGAAATCATCCAATTGCAGAAAAATTAATACGGTAAAATCATTGTCATCAGAATTTTAGAGAATAGGCGTTACTTTTAAAGACAAGAGGCTGTCAGAGGGACAGCAAACCGGATTTTCCTGCAGAGGTCGAACCCTGAACAGTTGAGCAAGTATGGACACTACATTTAAGCTTAAAACAGCTCTGAATTTGGATTGTGATTGAATATTTGACACAGCATAGGTTTGTGACACAAAATGAATGTGGTCAAAGAACTGAAATATTTGAAATTGGACATTTAAATACCTATTATGGTCCAATATCCAAAATCTAAGTACATATTAGAATCAGCATATCAAAGAACCCCAAGAATTCAATGTTTAATGAAATCAGAAAAAAATTTAATTTAGGACCCTTTGGACCTCAATGAGGACCAATTTGATAAAGGAGCCCACAATCCAAAATCTCTCAATACATGGTTAGAGTCAGCATTTCAAGGAACCACATAAATTCAATTTTTGTTGAATCAAACAAACTTTAATTTTGGACCCTGATTTGGACCAACTTGAAAACTGGGCCCAAAAATCTAATATTTAAATACAGGTTTAGATTCAGCATTTGAAAGAACCCTATTTATATTTAATTTATGTTGAAATGAAACACAGGTTAATTTTATCCATAATATTTTCTGTGCAAAGGGAAATAACTCAAATTTGATAAATAATTCTCTAAAATAAGATATGATGCAGTTTTTTAAATTATAATCAATAATATAATAACAACAACATGTGATGACTAAGTTCTCTAAAATTGGATATGATTTAACACTCAAACATTGTTAGAATCAGCATGTTACATATTTGTTTTTCGTTCATTTTCTGTACATAAATTAGGCCGTTAGTTTTCTCTTTTGAATTGTTTTACATTGTCATTTCGGGGCCTTTTATAGCTGACTGTGCGGTATGGGCTTTACTCATTGTTGAATGGCCGTATGGTGACCTATAGTTGTTAATTTCTGTGTCATTTGGTCTCTTGTGGAGAGTTGTCTCATTGGCAATCATACCTCATCTTCTTTTTTATATATCAAAAAACCAAAGAATTCAAATTTTGATGAAATTAAACAAAAGTTTAATTTAGGACCCTTTGGACCTCAATGTGGTATTATCTTATTAATAATGAAAAGAAATACAGGTTTAGATTAAGCATTTCAAAGAACCCTATATACATTCAATTTATGTTGAAATCAAACACAGTTTAATTTTGGACCCCAATTTGGACCAACTTGAAAACTGGGCCCAAAATCAGAAATCTAAATATATGTTTATTAATAGACAATATTAGCTTAGTTTTTAAAGGAGTTCACTTCATAAAAAAAATATAGCATTTAGAAAATCAGTTTTTACAGAATAACAAACAAACTTGCCACAAAATTCTTCAAACAATTTACCAAAGAAAAGAAGAAAAAAATCCAAAATTTTATTTATCATTAATACAATGTCTTTTCAAAATCTATAAAAATCAGTAACAAGAAATAATTGTAACAGGATGCTGTTACGAAGTCTCCCAAACAAAGCTCCAATAATTCGTCATTCCCAGGGTCGCCTGACATTGGGCAAAGTCCAGTACAAATTGGTTTGTGATATCATAAGTGACGCCTATGGATTGACCTTGTATGTCATTCAAATCTTCTTGAAATTACGAACAGGAATATATATGGTTTAGGGGTGGAGATCTCGACCGTTTACAAGTTCTCAAAAAGGGGGGGGGTGATCCCCAGGGGACTCGCCCTTTATTTCATATGATTTGTTTTTTTGTCCCATACAAGAATATTTATGGTTTAGGGGTGGGCATCTCGAACGTTTACAAGTTCTTAAACAGGAGGGGGTGGGGTTGACCCCAGGGGACTCGCCTAATATTTCATTTGATTTGTTTTATTGTCCCATTCAAGAATATATATGGTGTAGGGGTGGGGATCTCGACCGTTTACAAGTTATCAAAAAAAGGGGGGTGGGGGTAACCCCCATGGACTTCCCCTATATTTCATTTGATTTGTGTTATAGTCCCATACAAGAATATATATGGTTTAGGGGTGGGGATCTCGACCGTTTACAAGTTCTCAAACAGGATGGGGTTGGGGTGACCCCAGGGGGACTCACCTTTTATTTCATTTGATTAGTTTTATTGTCCCATACAAGAATATATATGGTTTCGGGTGGGGATCTTGACCGTTTACAAGTTTTCAAAAAGAAGGGGGTGGGGTGACCCCCATGGGCTTCCCCTATATTTCATTTGATTTGTGTTATAGTCCCATACAAGAATATATATGGTTTAGCGGGGTGGGGATCTCGACCGTTTACAAGTTCTCAAACAGGATGGGGTTGGGGTGACCACAGGGGACTCGCCTTTTATTTCATTTGATTAGTTTTATTGTCCCATACAAAAATAAATATGGTTTCAGGGTGGACAACTTGACCGTTTACAAGTTTTCAAAAAGAAGGGGGTGGGGTGAACCCGGGGACTCCCCCAATATTTCATTTGATTTGTTATATTGTCCCATACAAGAATATATATGGTTTAGGGGTGGGAATCTCGACCGTTTACAAGATAAAAGCACATTCTCAAATTGAAGGGGGTGGGGGTAAGAATATATATGGTTTAGGGAGACTTAATTATCTACAAAATGTCTTATAATGAACAGTAAATTTCAAATTTCATTTATACAGTCCAACTAGTAAATTTCAAACTTTATGTATATAGTCCTACAGATCTTATCAGGAAACAGAAAATTTTCAAATAAATCTGTCACTCCAATGATTATCATATGCTAAAATATAACCCAGATCTAATTAATAATTAATAATGTAATTACTCTCAAAATGTCTAATAATATAGTTTATAATCATCACCACTTAGGATATAGAAAATTTTCAAATAAAGCTGTCACTCCAATTTTTATTGCGAGATAAGACATTATGCTGAGTCATAATGTGATAACAAGAGACAAATATTTTAAAATACCACTTCTGGATATTAAAAATGGCGATAACTCAAAAAGGAGAAATACTAAAATCATGAAAATTGAACTAGATCTTCATTAAGTCACAAGAAACAACATATCTAAATTTGAAAAAAAATCATCACAGCGTTTTCATGTTATTGAAGAGACACTGTTTGGCAGCCGGCCGTCCGCCCGCCCATGCAGCCGCCCGCCGTACATTCCCAAATCAATAACCGATATTTCCTTCGAAAATCCGGTTAATAAAAAAAAACTGCCCTAACATTTTAATACTTACCGTTACCTTGGTGATATTTCTGCTTTAATCATATGATGATTTTACTGCAGAAAGTGACTCAAAGGAAACTGAATCTAATACAGAGTTATTTTTCAGACAGTTATAATTGTCCTTTTCTAGATTTAAATATTTCAGTTTCACATGGGAAAGTGTATACCAATAATTGAGTCAAAAGAGACGATGTTTCGTTCTTATCGTTAATTTTCCATTTTTGGACAGTTATGTTCTCGCTACCTCAAATTAAGTAAAACCTATACCAAATTCTTTCATAGATACAAAGATTTTGTTAAAAGGTCATGATTTTGTTAAAAGGTTTGGCTGTACCTGTAGAATTTTTATTAAAAATAACGGGATATCTCATCCAGATGGACGTACATCAGCTGTTTATAGAGCCCGGAAATTAAGATACGATCCACGTAAACCAATTGACCCTTTGTATAAACTTGTTCATAAAGGTTATCCATTTAACACAGCAGTAAAATCCTTTTGAAAATATTGTTTTTATCGGTACTACATTTATTATTATTTTTTTTTTAAATTAGAACAATTTAAACATACCTAAATATATATTGATATATATGTACAGTTATGAGAACTCTTGATCCTACATCCTGTCGTTACTGTTAACTTATATTTTGACGGTGGACAAGGCCGTAAGTTTCTCAGACATATTATGATGCCTTTCACTAAATCAGTTGGATGTGTATTGACTGATACTTTAGTTTGGGAGAACATGATTTATCTAATGGTTGTAATTGGCTTCGAACTAGCTTTCAGTAACTCTTATATCGGTGCTTTGTGTCTAATTGTTTTTATGTTAGTTGTTTTTGTGCCTCGTATCGATCTTTTGAGTTAAGCCAATTGCAACTGAATTTTATAGTTTGTTCTTATATTGTGATGTTACATCAATGTCTCAGGTTAATGAGGGGTTGAGCGTTCACAAACATGTTTAACTCCGCCACATTTTTTATGTGCCTGTCCTAAGTCAGGAGCCTGTAGTTCAGTGGATGTTTTTCGTCAATTTCTTGTCTGTCATATTTGTTTTTCGTAAATTGTTTTGTTATAAATTAGGCCGTTAGTTTTCTCGTTTGATTTGTTTCCGGCCATTTTTCAT